AAGAGTTTGAGTGAGATTGGCAGTGGTTCTATGAGCAGCTGTACACATCATCGTTGGAGCCACACGCAAGTGTGAGTAACGATTCAAGAGCAAGTTACCTGGGACAAATAGTTCGACTAGGTAAGTCCAACTTCGACCGAGAGGTCAATCGACGGATTCAACTCGGCTGGGCAGCGTTCGGGAAATTACGACACATCTTTTCGTCAGGTATACCTCAATCTCTGAAAACTAAAGTGTACAACCAGTGCGTGTTGCCAGTGATGACTTACGGATCAGGGACGTGGTCCTTCACTGCTGGCCGTATGAGGACGCTCAAGGTCGCTCAGCGAGCTATGGAGAGGGCTATCCTCGGAGTTTCTCTGCGTGATAGACTCAGAAATGAGGATATCCGCAGTAAAACCAGAGGGACCGACATAGCCCAACGGATTACTAAGCTGAAGTGGCAATGGGTCGGCCATATAGCTCGAAGAACCGATAACCGATGGGGAAGAAAGGTTCTCGAGTGGCAGCCTCGTACCGGTAGGCGTAGTGTAGGGCGACCCCCCACTAGATGGAGTGACGACCTGGTAAGACATGCAGGAAGTCGATGGATGCAGGTGACTCAGGACCGTGCTTTGTGGCATTACTTGTGGGAAGCCTATCTTCAGCAGTGGACTTGTGAAGGGCTGTAATAATGATGATGATGATGATTGATATGCAGAAGAAACAGCGTTGGCGATAGCTCGGAGCCTTGTGGAACACCAGCATTAATAGGATTGCAATCGGAGCTTGCACCGTCTACAACGACCTTGATGCTCCGATCTGCAAGAAAGCTGGTGATCCAATCGCAAAATTTCTCGGGAAGCTCATAGGAAGAGAGCTTCGAAAGAAGCGCTTTGTGCCAAACCCGATCGAAGGCCTTCGCAATGTCAAAACTAACGGCCAATGCCTCCCCCTTGGACTCTACTGCCTCCGCCCATCTGTGAGTTAGGTAGACCAGAAGATCACCAGCTGACCGTTGTGAAAACCGTATTGGCGGTCACTTATCAGCTGGTGATCCTCAAGGTATCTCATGAGCTGGCAGTTTACAATGGACTCCATTGTTTTGGAGAACAAGGAGGTGATGGCGATAGGCCGTTAGTTGGACGGGTCCGTGCGGTCGCCTTTTTTAGGGATCGGGTGGACGAAAGCCGTCTTCCATGAATTTTGGGACTATGCCTAGGGAGTAGGAGTACCGGAAAAGACGCGTTAAAACCGGTGCCAACTCTGGAGCACACGTCCATAGCACAATTGGGGGATTCCGTCAGGCCCACTCGACTTGTGGATGTCCAGGGAGAGGAGTGCTTTGCGAACCGAGTGCTGTGTGAACTGCACTTCCGGCAGGGAGCACTCACACCGCGGGATGGTCGGCGGCGTACTCCCCCCGTCATCGAGAGTCGAGTTGGGCGCAAAAAAAGAGCCTAGAAGATCGGCTTTCTCCTTTGCGGTATGGGCCAGTGAGTCGTCCCCTGTGCAGAGATGGAAGAGATGACTGACAGAAATTCCCCTGGACAGCCTTGGCGAGAGACCAGAATGCACGGTTCCAGAGGGAAGGCGAACTAGTTTCTCGCTAATTCTGCCTATGTGTTCTGACTTTGCCTTGGCAATGACTCTTTTGAAGGACCTAGAGGCGGCATTATACTTCTTTTTTAGAGCGCTGGTGTTTACATCCCTGATGAAGCTGATGCGTCAGCCCAGGCTTGGTAGCACTTCTGCTTATAGCATGATGCTATTTTACAGGAGCGACCAAACCATGGCTGAGATTTGCCTCCAATGGGCACCACAGAGGAAGCAATAAAAAGTTCCATACCCTGAAGTACCACATCAGCGACAGAATCCGCAACAACGTTGGGATCGTCCGGCGAGAAGCAAACCCGCCCCCAAGGGTAGGATGCAAAGAAAGACCGTATCCCATCCCAATCGGCTGACCTATAGTGCTAAACACGGCGGCAGCCTGCAGAATGCTACTGCGATTTGAGCGTGAGTGGCACCACACTCCGGACAAGACAATGGTCCGGGGAGCCTAAAGGGGCGTCGACGAAATCTGATATCCGTCCGGGTGAGAGGTCAGCAGAAGGTCCAACAGGGAAGGTGCATGATCCTCCACATCTGGAATCCGCGTAGGCGAAGTAACCAGTTGTGTCAGACCATATGCCAAGGCAAAATCATGAACAGATTTCCCCGCATGATCGGTTAAACGTGAACCAAGCTACTTGGCGTGATGGGCGTTAAGGTCGCCGAGGATCAGGATCTCTGCGGAGGGGATCTCCTGTAGCAACCCTATCTGTAGCCATTTGGACGTGGTCGAAGAGTCGGTCTGTTTCGGCATTACCGCTATGGGACCTATAGAGGCACCCGTAGACCCGCGGATGGTCGTCGCTGTCTACGCGTAGCCAAAGGATGGACAGATCCGAACCTTCAAGTCTGCCGAGGCATCGAGAACAGATGTACTCTCTGACATAAACGCAAACTCCAGCCTGAGGCACAAAGGAGTGTTCCAGTTTGTACCCCGGGTAGGAGAGATACGAGACATCAGCCGGAGAGGACACCTGCGTCTCGGTCAGAAAGAGCAGAGCCGGCCTCGCCATCTCGAGATGGTAGTGGACGGCGTTTAGGTTAGAGTGAAGTCCCCTGATATTGCAGAAATTCACGGACAGCGTGGCAGGGGTCGTCTTCGTCTTGTTGCTCCGTTTGCCCCGAGCAGTTGTAGTCTTGAGCGGAATTTTGCACCCCCCCTCCCAGAATACGCGGGCCAGCCTGAGCATCCACGCTCAGAAGTGGAGAAGTAAGTGGAGAAACATGGTCTGGTTCTTTTCTCGAGAAAAGAAATTCTCAGTAGCTGTCTGGAGTCCGGAAGTTGCTGGTGTGTCACTCCCGCGTCTCGGAGAGTACGAAAAGCCGTTGGTCCTGCGCCTGATCTCTCTCCGGTCATGTCGGTTTACCGTCCCTTCGGATTATGAGAGTGAGGGAATACAGAGTGCACATTTGCTTGCCCATACACTTGGGCACTATAATCCGGTACTGCGCCCATGGCTAGCTTCCGTTGAGGCAGGCCGCCCTGATCGAAATTCGGTCTGGAGGACACTATTACTACAGGGCTACTTCAGTAATTTCAGTTATTTGGTATAAGTAAGTATTTAGTAAATTATTTCATAACTAACACGAACTTGTTATAAGTTAGCACGTAAAATTGTTAACGTAAATTGGAGGCATTAACTTATTGATAGAAGTGGGATTTGAGCCCAAGCTCTCGGAGAGGAGCATAAAATTCGAAAACATACCAAATGGGCAGAAAATCTTGAGTCTGGTGTCTTAGACCGCTCTGCCTTCTTGACATTCACACTTGCACACGATGTTAAAACTACGGCTTACAAGTAAAATAAAAAATTACAGTAAAAATAAAACAATAGAGTAATTTATAATCACTTCGAAGAACCTAATGCTTTAAATAGTTACAAAAGTAATTTTTATACGGATTTTATTGCGTTTATTACTTAAAATTATAATCAGCAACAAAATTACATCCTAACCCAAGCAAAACACTGCAAGACAATTTAATTAATAATTCATACAAATTAATTTATGCTTGGGATTTGTGTCATAGTTGGAAGACTCTAGCATCATTTTTTATAGAATGAGTGAGGAAAACGAGCATTAAGTCCACCTGATGGTAAGTGTACCTACTGTGGCCCGTAGACATCAACATTTATTCTCAATTAAGTTAACGCACAATTTTGTTGGCGCGTAATTTTTTTAATTATACCATTGTAAGTAACACAGGCTAATAAGATAAGATACATTATATGGTAAGCTTGGTTCTTTGATTATATAGTAGGCATGTCGATACACTCCTAAAAAAATCGATCTCTGAATCGATTCGAATCGAACATACTAGAATCGATTATCGATTAAATCGAGGATTAAAAGATCGATTTTCGATTAATCGCGACATTTCCGAATATTGTTTCCTGAAATGCGATTTTTCTTAAATGAACTTTTATAATTAGATTTACCTTTTTTAATTACAGGCTGTGGGGCATTCCGTCTTAGATAACGACGTATATGTAGCCATCTTTTATTTGTTGTTAAAATTCACATTAGACTAGGCTGTATGGTTTCAGACCTTTGCCTACCTTAATTGGTGTATCGTAAAAACTACATATAGTTAAATTTTTTAGAGTTTAGACAGGCTTAATACATGGATGTCTTCGTAATAAATGGTTGCGTAAATTTGTGGTATTTCCGCATGTTTTTACTTCGATATGACAATACTTGCATACGCCATTCGATCTCTTTTTTACAAATGAATTCCATGTATCACGTTTAGTTGACATTTTAGGCTAAAAAGAACAACAATACTTTAACAAGAGTGCTAATTGCTACGTATATTTCTCGATAAATCGGTTTCAATCTAATAACTCACTATTTATCAAATTAAAATGAATGCTACACGAAAACAATACTGGTCATTTCGTAACTATAAACCCCTATAAACTTCAACATTTAATATTTATTTACAGTATCCAGGTATTTCAAAAGTACTATGTCTGTGGTCGTAGCTCACAGTATGTATAATTTTGACTATAATTGAAGTACTAAATTCACAGGTTCACAGTATTATATATTAATACGTAATGGGGTATTTGTTCACAGCAAACATTAAATTAGACCCACATTAGACAGGTAAGATAAGAATTAGAATTTTAGAAATGAAAAACAACTTTTCTATATACTGCGGTATCTAACTTCTTACCCCAGCTAGTTTAGGAACTTTATTGCTAGTTCTTGAATCAGATGAGTCAGTCCGATTCGAGAGGTTTTTGGATCGATTCATCGAATCGATGCAGTGCTCTGAATCGATCTAAAAGATCGATTATTTTACTCCAGATAAACGATTTTTTGATTAATCGATTTTAGATCGACATGCCTATTATATAGACAGATATATAATCAAAGGCTTGGTTACGGTGTAGACGTTCAAAATGTTGAGACATCCAAAATACTTGTATGGCCCAGATACGCATCTTATACCGGTTAAATTAAATTTGGGTGAATTTTTAATTCGAAGACTAAACGAACATGGAAATAAGATTGCTATGGTGAGTTATTTATTTTAAATCTTCTACATCTGTTAAGGATTTCTACATATTCTGTGATTGATATCTTAAAGTTAAAGCCATCATGGATTAGTTGTTAAATTGCTGACCCATTGCTTAGTTCTTAATTATTTACAAAAAACACCAATAACTTGACTCGTTTATTATTTTTAATGGAAACTTAAAATAGTTTGTGTTGATGTCAATGGATTTTTATATTTTTATTTTTATTTTTATATTTCAAGAATTATAGAATATTAAAGCGATGTACGAGGAAATTCAATTTGGTAATTGTTTATTCATGTAATACTTAGTGAAAGAGTAGCTGAAAAAACCAAAGCGCTATGTACAGCGTCCCAAAAATAGTTTAAAATCTTTTTATCATTAAATGTCGTAGGTCATCAGTCATCACAGAAGATCAGCGTTGTGGATTAGTTAGCGTATTCGTACGAGAGGTTAAGGGAATATAGTAAGTCAGCTCAAATTCTAATTTCGTCCTCACTTGCCCGCGCGTCGTATGCTATGTACGGACATGTTTGTAATCACTGATACTGTAAGTAGAAAGGTCTTTAGACACTTATTCTATACCTAGTGCTGTACCTATTCTAGACCTGTTTCTTAACGCCAAGCCAGTCGCTTCTTATTTTTATTACGGTTATTTCGCATTTTAATTTTACGTCGTCCTGTTGCGTAATGTATATTCTGATCGTAAGCGACACAAACTCCCCCTTCAAAGGTCGAAGCGAAGTGACCGGGCGGCAGGAATCATGCTTCAAGAGGCCGATAGTTTAGGTAAGTATTTTATGAATAACAGCGGTTTATTGTTTATTTTGGAGGTAACTTTCGATTTTTTTTCTATCGAGAAAATTTTATGAAATCGTGTTTTCTTCTAAAATAATCCTTAACATTAATCCTCAACTTTACCATATATTTATTTCAAAATTAATGCTGCAATATTTTCGGCATAACGAAGGATCTTGCTAAGCCATTTGAGATTATATTTCCCTTTAACTATTCAAATCAGGCAATACTTTGCTAGTGACGCATCACTTTGGCCGAATACGACCCGATTGACCTTGCTCGTTTCACAGCAAACCACGCGCCGTCTATCGAACATCACGTGTGTTACCTGTACGCTTTGTTTATATAGACATGTATAATATAATCAAAGCCGTACGGGCTTTGATTATATTATATTTGACTGAGCTAGCTCAATATGCAGAATAATGAACAACACAGAGAGCATTGCTTACTTCTTAATTAAATCTTTCCTATTTATAATATTAGTTCCTATAGATTATAAATTCTGTACTTTATTCGTTATAAAATATTGTTCGAAAAGTTATTGAATTGATATCGATTTTTTTTTCTTAATTGATGCACGTACGTAAAGAACCTCATATAACTGAAAATGTTTGTTCTTGTGAGTCTTACAAGATGCCGTAATGCAAATTGCATAAATAATAAAGAAAAAACACAAAAAAGTCAGTGATTGCCCCATAGTGGGGATAGGTACTGTGTATGTAAATTCTCACAAGACTACTCCGACTGGTCAATCACTTCACATCCGAAGTATTTCGGTTTTTCTTAATTATGTACTTACCCCATGCTTTCGGACAACACATTGACTATGACATTATTTGCGGTCTCTGTGCTTGCACTACTCTGTACATTATTTTCCGACTCGGTCTTGATATTTACATTTCTATTGTTTCTCACTTGAAACTAGAAAAGTATAAATGATCAGTTTGGCTAATGTAAATGAGTAAAAATGCAGCCTATTAGGCAGCCTCAAACGAAAAATTACCTTACAAAAAATATAAGTAACCTCAAAATACAACATTCGAGCAGCGTTCATGCGATCAACTCTCTTTGTTTTACCACTTAGGTAACATTTATTTCTTTTCCTAATCATATTCACATTTATGGTCACTTAAACGCGTATAAAACACTAAATTAAAGATTTTCACTACAGACACAACGACTGTTGTCACCTTACACCACACGTCGAAGCGCCTGGTAATTTATTACGGCAAACTTATCTGGCAATATACGATATTACTATTAGGTGTTTTAATTAAAACTAATTATGTTAATAAATAATATTTTGTATCGAAAATAAAGACGGCAGGCACCTTCGAAATCACAATACAAACATTTTTACGTAAAAGAATTTTTCCTAAATTAAAATTCACAGAGTTTTGGAAGAACAATCATTTTTAAATATCATTTCTTAACATTTTTTTATTTGTTGGTATATTCATTTATTTTAAAATTTTAAAACAGCGGACACCTTGTCAATGAACCGAACAAACCTACAAAAATGTTTTAACGCTTAGAATTACTTCAAGTCAAAGTTGTAGTGAAGAGAAATACATTAAATTTCGCCAGTTCTCCTCGTATTCGGCCTTAAATCAAACGCTTTGTTACGATTAAATTTCCTAAGCGGGCAGGCTACAGCGAGATGTAATAATTTATTTCGTACGTTGCGGATGTATGTAAAATTCTCCTATGGTAACAAACAATTGATAAGTAAACGAGTATAATGTATATATGCGATCGATATTATACGGCCCCGAAATAATTTAAGAGGCGTTATTTGTAGCGTAAACGAACAAAATCAAAACTAGTATTTACGCAAGAATGCACTATGTACATAAATTCATGTAAATATTACGAATTGCGGAATTAGGTAAACAGGAAACACAACAATATACTCTGCTAGAACCTAATGTACTATATCAGTTGGCAGGGGCAGCAGCGTGAGCTGCTGTAGGAAATGAACAACAAATGAGAACAGCTCAAGATAGGAAAAGTGCATTTTCTTGGGCGTTGATCTTCTGACTGCCTTTGATCTCAGGCCTCGAGGCTGGTGACACTGCGTTACAACTGCGGTGGTGCGAGACGATGAATTATTGGCACTTGTGCACGACGATAAATAGACTTGTGCTAGCGGTCACTACTAAGTTGTTCTGTGGCACAGACCCAATAATCAGCTTGTCGATCTAAATCCTCTGTGGCCTTATGACATGCGGCTCGAATTGTGCCCCATTCATTTCGAGGCAGATTTGGGCTCGGCGTTGCGTCTCCTCATGCAGGCGGGAAATCATCGTGGGGTCTTAAACACAGTCCGCACGTAGTTTGTCGAAAACATCCACGATCCTTTGGCGCATTTCGTCAGCACTATCACACTCACGATTAAAAACCCTTTCTTACACATACCCGTGAGATGTGGTGAGGTGGGCAAGCGTGTGGACCTAGTCTGCCGATCCAGCGATCATAAAATAGCTCGCGTGAGGCACTCATGGACGAATCTCATGACATGCACCATCATGCTGGAACCATGTGCGGTGATATTCAGCCAACGATAGGTTGTCCAAAATGTCAACCAACTATTCATTTATAAAGTTTATGTATCGTTGTCCGTTAAGTCACTTTGGCAGAAACACTGGTCCTAGTAGGCGATCCTTAAACAAACCTGCCCATACGTTAAGTGATCATCGGGTTTGGTGCCCGACTTGTCGAATGGTGTGCAGGTTAACCTCGCAATACACATGTGTATTTCTTCGGTTCCACAGGCCGTTTCTGGTAAATGTGGACTCGTCCGTCCAGATAACGTGCTCAATGAAACCAGGCACACGTTGTTGTTGGTCTAATAACCAACGACAGAAAACTCGTCGGCGGTCGTGATCGCCTGGAACTAAAGCTTGCACTTGTGCACTTTGTATGGTCGCATTCGGTTACGCTTTAACACTTTGTAAACTGTACAATATGACACACTTGTTCCATCCCGACGCCTTAACAATTTAGCGATACTTTGTGTACCTAATTTCGGATTTCGGCGAACAACATCTAAAATTGGCTCCTCAGAGTGAACAGTCGCTTGACTTTCACCTCCTGCCGCTTTCGAAGCAATGGGCCGATTTTCCAACACTCGTTGAAATGCAGCTGTTATCAGACGAGAGTCAGTTGGGTGTCGAGCGGTCGGAAATTACTCTAGGTAAAATCGTAACGCCCACGAAGCATTCCCGCGGCTTCTCCAAGGCACATTAACATGTTACCGTTACCCGATTCGCAAGGGACACATCTCTTGCGAATCAATCGAAAAACCACAGATCATTAAACCGTTACGACATTCCCAACTCTAATTTTATGACTTTAGTTATAACTACGACTAGTCTTCAAATGGAATTTCGAAGTTATAGTTGTCATTTTTAATACAATTAGACAATCAATTGTACTCTGACGTAATAAACAGTTACTACAAAAATGATATTGAAATTAATAAACGTACCTAATTGGGTAACTCACACAATTATAAACACAATTTCATCGTTATCTTTGATTTTGTACAAGAAAATAGAAATGAAATGGTACTGAATAATTTAATAGTTAAAATAAATCACTTGCAATTATGATCGATAGTTAGCTAATCTATCAGAATTAATCTAACAATTAATTCATTTACTTTAATATACTTTCCTTTCTTTAATCCGTCCAATGCTTTCGATTTAAAAAAAGGTAAGTCAAAACTATGAAAATTACTTCTCTTGAGTCTGTAGTGTAAATTGTGAAAAAAAAAAAACTCTGGTCGGCCGGTGGCGTGCTTCCCCTTTCACTTTTGACAGAGCCAATGAGAGGGTCATTGGGCGCGCGAAATTACTCGACCATGTATAGCCTTCTATTGGACATACCCGTGCAGGAAGGAAGTGGAAGTGAACAGGATGGATATTGCCAGCCAATATAGTCAACTAAATGTGCGTTTTGGCGCAACCAGAGCAGACAATACATCTACATTGTGATTCTATCACGGATGTATGTAGATGTTTATTTGTCATAGTATCTGTTAGGCCTGTGTGCTTGTTTGAGGGGTCTCAATTTAGGCAATTCCACTTTTGAGCTCATTTAAATTAAAAATACAGTTAAATAATATACTTTTTTTGGATATGATGTCCATAGTGTATTACGTGGTAGAGCCATGCTGCAATTATATTAGTAGTATAGTTGTAGCACGAATGGGTCGGCTCGACCGGGAAGGACAACGCTCTCACAGAATACCAGCGTGAAATAGTAGCTTAATGCTGCTGTATTTCGTATGGTGAGTGTAGAGAACCGGAGACCCTTTTACTGGAAATGAGGCATTCCATCTCAGTCCTCACGGGTGACAACGCATCTGCATTTTGATTTGTAATGGAAGATAGATGTAGATGTCTATGGGCCGCAGCAACCACTTACCATCAGGTGGACTGTGTGCTCGTTTGTCACCCTATCCTATAAAAAAAAAATAGTATGTTAAATTTAAAGGATTATTGCAGATCAGTCTTATAATCTTTATATATAAAAATTACGTGTCACATTATTTGTCCGCGATGAACTCCTATTAAATCAAAACTAATAACTATGAAATATCGTACGGATTTTAAGACGAGAATTTCCGACGCTAAAAGGTTTTTAGCGCTGTCTACATCGCTGCATGCATATTAGTCAAACACGAAGCAAGTATGCGATATTTACGTTACTTCATTCAAAATTTTTTAGCATATTTTCAGAAAATTATGGATCTTTTTAAAAATGCAACCAATAAGGAATATGAGTTAATAACATGCGTTAAACATTATCGAAAAATATTTCCATATTGATTATAACTACTTTTACGGATTAAACGTGATAAAATCCATATAAGTAGTTTTAATCAATGTGTAGTGTTCTGGTAAATATAAGAAATCGTTAATATTTCCATATTTTTATCGTTTAAAAAACGAGCTAGAACATCGAAGTATTTTTCCAGCGATTAAATTACATTTTTGCTATCTCGTTATGTATAAACTATTTTAAAAATCCATTCGATTTAGAATTTAGTTGAGTATTTTATGTATGCGCATATTTTTTTCCCAGAAACTCGTGTCTAATATACAATATTTTTGTCCAATCTAGTCTTAACAGCGTTAATTAAAAATAGAACTACAATCTATTTTACCGGAAGTGGGATTCAAATCCTCGTCCTAAGAGAGAAGATCAGAACGCACGAATAAATTACAATTGACTAGGAAGCCTTAATTTCTCACCGACGTTTAACGTTAATTTAAAGAATAAACCGAATAAAAAAGAATTATTTGAAAATATGTTGATAGTGCCACGCGTACATTGCTGTTTCAGTCAGAAGAGAATAGATAGTCATTTTAATAACAGACTGAGCATAGCCTACTTTGTTGTTAAGTTCGTTACACAAGCACATTTATCTGCAGTAGCCCCTTACCATCAGGTGGACTATCAAGTTCCTTTATTAATTCAGTTTTAGGAGTTTTGGCGGGAACTTAGCCGCAGATGGATTGTCGTTCCTGTTTTGTCGCTTGAATAATGGTTTGAAGTGGATTTTGATTCGTAAAAGTGATGCGATTTTGTGAATTAAGTGTTCGCGCGTTTGTGTATTAGAGAAAACGACGAAACAAGTGCTTTGATGTCGATATAAACCTCAAGTTATTTTGATCGCTTGGGCGCCTTATGAATTTGAGTAGCTGTCGTCATCAACTGTGCGCTGGATTGAGCTCCTGTCAAAATATCCCAAGGGCTTCGCAATGTGACGCATCAGCATATTGTGAAGATAAAGAATATAAAAGTGAAGATTCCTAAAGAAATGATAGGCTCAGAAGGGCTAGAACTCAGAGCCGTAAAGCCAGTTAGTAAAAAAATATTCAGTTTTATTGTAAAAATAAAAGAGATCAAACAATAATTACAGCAGTTCGAATATTTTCACTGTACTTGCGATCCACCCGGTTTCGCACAGGTGATTTATATATATATATATATATATATATATATATATCTTATATATAATATTTTATATACTATCGCGTATATATATAAAATACTAGTTTTTACGCTATAAATTCCGACTAGTATTATTTCAATGTGTAGTGTTCGCGTAAATGTACGAAATATTATATTGAATGTTGTAATCTCGAGATTTAGATTAGCCTGACCACAGAACACAAAACATGTAACGTTAGAAAAGTCGTGAATTCATGTGTTATTTGAATTCAGTACAGTGTGAATTTTTGTTTTTTTAATTATGCTAATTGCATACTAGCAATCAGTTGTTATCTAGAACAATTTTTCAAAAAATGCCAGTAGGTAGGGATAAAAAATTGTTTACTTAAAAGTTTCACACCTTGATTCCTTAACGCTTCTTCGCGATATTTGTTAGCAAAGTAAAATGTGTGAGTATTTGTTTATTTGTTTATTTATTTAATTAAAGCTACATAAAAAGTTTACTTACATTCAATGGCGTGAATAGAATGGAATATAATAAAATAGGTTGATTAGGATAAAATGGGATGGAATAGAATAGAATAGCATAGAATAAATAATTAGATATAATATTCAACATGGGTTTTAAATTATACTTATTATAAATTCAGAGTGTTCACGCCATTCACACTTCTGAACATTATTATAAATATAAGTTCGGTTTATATAATATTTATATTCTAAGTCATACATGCAAATAAGTTAATTACATTTATTAGTGTAAAAGAAACTTTCACCGTATTAATATCATCCTGAAATATGAGTTTAGATTGCATAAACATTGTTAATTATTCTTCAATAGCAATCCATTACGTTTAAATATGTCGTCATTGTAAGAGTCAACGGACATACAATTTGTGCCCTTCGTTCAACAATACCAACTGTTGATCGAAGCTTTCGACCCTCAAACTGTTAACACGTCCTCAAACATATAACAATATATTGAAAACTGTAACAACTCGTAGATCAAGTTTGTGATACTCTAATCTACCATTTCTTTGTACATATCGTAAAGAAAGTTTTTTTTTACCAGACCAGAAGCAGACCTTGAGGACATAAATAATGCAAGATTCTCTTAAAGTTTATGATTTGAAACAGATATTAAAGTATTTATATCTGGCTTTAGGGTCATGCAGATATTATCAATAACTACAGAAGCCCATAACATGCCCTCTTAATCTCAAGAGTTGTAGATCAGCTATTTAAAACTTCTCTATCTAATTAATATGTTTAGACATGATAATGTATTAAAATGTCATTATAATTGTTAACAGATTAATGGTGCTACTGATGAGACACTTACATATAACAAAATGGTTCAAATGTCCATGAACATCGCCGTTTCTTTAGTTCGCATTGGCGTGAAAAGGGGAGATGTTGTGGGGATATGTTCTGAGTCAAGATTGGAAAACTGGTGCACTGTAATTGGAATAGCTTGCACTGGGGCCGTGATGACGCCTTTTAGTATTGGATACGTAAGAGGTATCATTAAGAAGGTATACCTAACTGTAGAGGTTCTAGTCCAGCGGTGGGCTTATGCGGGCTAATTATGAATAAGGAGAATAATAAATAAAACTATAGTTTCAAGAACCTCTACCGTTGTGGTGATGTTTGACCTTTATCGTCACGCTTGCTTAAAAAGCCTCTAGTAGCTTACGCTAGAGTTTAACTTTTATTAACCAACTTCCGAAGTAGCTTTTTTGGGTTTATATACACGCATGTATGTATTTTTGTATTTATGTATATCTGTGTCCTTTGTTTTTTGTCATCTTAAGTTGTAGCCAAAAATCATTACAGTCTGTTTTTTTTAATAGTAACTTACTTATCTTTTTAAACATGTTTCTTCCTTCTTTGAGAGTAAAAGGATTTTATCAGATAGTATTTCGAAGCGGATATACCTTTTAATTTTTGTGCCGTGTAGTGGCGGTTAAGAATATCCACTACCCCATATCTTCCCGTGGGTGTCGTAAAAGGCGACAGAGGGAAACAGGCAGGAGATGGACAGCAGCGTCTTCCTGATAACAGCAATTGTACGACAAAAAAAAACTGCGGTTGCCAACCCGCTCGCCAAGCGTGGCAACTATGGCAATATACCCCCCATGAACAATTACACAAATAGACGGCCCCCAGTCCCCGGCGGCCCCGCTATTCCTGGCTACGGTGGCGACCATGGTAACGGCGGGGCAGGGGGTGCTAAGAATCTCCGGTGGAGGTTCGGTTGCCACCTACGACGACTCGACCTGGCAACATTTAACGCACGCACACTGAGGACTGACGAGAAGATCCTGGAGCTGGAAGAAGAGATAGACAAGTTGCGTTGAAGTATTATAGGATTATCCGAGGTCCGAAGAGAGGGGGAGGACACGGTGATTCTCGAATCCGGCAACTTGTTCTATCACCGGGAGGGCGACCATCTGTCCCAAGGAGGTGTCGGATTTATCGTCCACAAGTCTCTCGTCAACAACGTTGTAAAGATTGGGAGTGTGTCGACGAGAGTCGCGTACCTGATACTCAGAATCACCAAACGGTATTCGCTGAAGGTCATACAGGTTTACGCACCAACTTCGGCACATTCCGATGAGGAGGTGGAGGAAATGTATGAAGATATTTCCAAAGCCATGCATTCCTCCAAAACCCACTACACGGTGTTGATGGGAGACTTGAACGCAAAACTAGGCACAAGAGAAAACGGTGAGCTGAAGTTAGGGAAATTTGGAGTAGGGCAACGGAACCGAAGGGGCCAGCAGCTGGCCGACTTTATGGAGAAAGAGGGACTCTTTATGATGAACTCTTTCTTCCAGAAGCGGTCCCACAGGAAGTGGACCTGGTCGGGCCCCGACGGTTCGACAAAAAATGAGATTGACTTCATTTCAGTTCAGTGATGTCTCAGTGATCGCAAGGGTGAAAACTGGCAGCGATCACCGAATGGTTAGAGGCACACTGAACCTAAACGTTAAGTTGGAGAGGTCTCATCTAATGAAGTCAACGCTCCGTCCCCTCGTGCTCTAATCCAGAATCTCGAACCTTTTCAGCTCGAGTTACGTAACCGCTTTCAGTGCCTAGAAGATTGCAATGCAGTGGACGATATCAATGACAAGCTCGTGGAAACTGTCCATGCGGTCGGAGCTAAGTTCTGCAAGACTCGCCCCAGAAGAACACAAAAAGTCTCCGATCACACTCTTAATCTCATGGCTGTTAGACGGGGGATGAGGCTGCAATCGTCAACAGATTTGACACCATACAGGCAACTGAACAGCCAGATCTCCAAATGCATGCGGCGAGACTTACGCAACTTTAATACTGCTCGTATTAAAGAAGCGATCGAGCGGAACCAGGGCTCCAAAGTCTTTGCCAGAGATCTGTCTGCCCGTGAAAGCCAACTGTCAAAGCTGAAGATTGAGTGTGGCAGCATCGTTTCCGGGACACCTGAGATTTTGAGTGAGATTGAGAGGTTCTATGGGCAGCTGTACACATCATCGTTGGAGCCACACGCAAGTGTGAGTAACGATCCAAGAGCAAGTCTTATCCGACACTATTCCGATGATATCCCGGACGTCAGTCTAAGCGAGATTAGAATGGCTCTCCAGCACCTTAAAAACGGCAGGGCCCCAGGAGAGGATGGAATTACAGCGGAGCTTCTGAAAGCGGGTGGAACACCGGTACTTGAAGTCCTTCAGAAGCTCTTCAATTCCGTCCTCCATGGTGGCACTACTCCAGAGGCGTGGAGCAGAAGTGCGGTGGTCTTGTTCTTTAAGAAAGGCGACAACGCTCTCTTGAAGAACTACAGACCGATTTCCCTTCTGAGCCGCGTCTACGTGCTGTTTTCGAGAGTCATTACGAATCGTCTCGCACGCAGACTCGACGACTTCCAGCCTCCCGAACAAGCCGGTTTCCGAATAGGCTTCAGTACCATAGACCACATACATACCCTGCGGCAGATTGTACAGAAGACTGAAGAGTACAATTTGCCACTTTGCATAGCGTATGTGGACTATGAGAAAGCCTTTGATTCCGTCGAAATTTGGGCGGTGCTGCAGTCCCTTCAGCGGTGCCAAGTTGACTGTCGGTATATCGAAGTGCTGAAGTGTTTGTACAGTAGGGCTACGATGGCTATCCGAGTACAGAACCAGAGCTCGAAACCTATCCAACTGCAGAGAGGTGTAAGACAGGGTGACGTTATATCCCCGAAACTCTTCACCGCTGCGTTGGAAGACGTTTTCAAGCTACTGGACTGGAAAGGATACGGTATTAACATCAATGGCGAGTACATCACTCACCTTCGATTTGCCGACGATATAGTCCTTATGGCAGAATCGCTGGAGGACTTAAGCACTATGCTCAATGACCTCAATAGTGCCTCCCAACGGATAGGTCTTAAGATGAACATGGACAAAACAAAGATCATGTTTAATGTCCATGTCACACCTATGCCGGTAGTTGTTGGGAGCACTATGCTCGAAGTTGTTGACGAGTACGTTTATCTGGGACAAATAGTCCGACTAGGTAAGTCCAACTTCGACCGAGAGGTCAATCGACGGATTCAACTCGGCTGGGCAGCGTTCGGGAAATTACGACACATCTTCTCGTCAGGTATACCTCAATCTCTGAAAACTAAAGTGTACAACCAGTGCGTGTTGCCAGTGATGACTTACGGATCAGAGACGTGGTCCTTCACTGCTGGCCGTATGAGGACGCTCAAGGTCGCTCAGCGAGCTATGGAGAGGGCTATGCTCGGAGTTTCTCTGCGTGATAAACTCAGAAATGAGGATATCCGCAGTAAAACCAGAGTGACCGACATAGCCCAACGAATTAGTAAGCTGAAGTGGCAATGGGCCGGCCATATAGCTCGAAGAACCGATAACCGATGGGGAAGAAAGGTTCTCGAGTGGCAGCCTCGTACCGGTAGGCGTAGTGTAGGGCGACCCCCCACTAGATGGAGTGACGACCTGGTAAGATATGCAGGAAGTCGATGGATGCAGGTGACTCAGGACCGTGCTTTGTGGCATTATTTGGGGGAGGCCTATGTTCAGCAGTGGACTTGTGAAGGGCTGTGATGATGATGATGATACCTTTTAATTTTTATGCATCAAAGGTTATCAATACTAATTAAAAACTATTTTTTACTTTTGTCACTGTTTCGTAAATAGGTCTTTTTAAAATTATCATTTACAGCCCTTCACAAGTCCACAACTGAACATAGGCCTCCCCCAAGTAACGCCACAAAGCACGGTCCTGAGCCACCTGCATCCATCGACTTCCTGCATGTCTTACCAGGTCGTCACTCCATCTAGTGGGGGGTCGCCCTACACTACGCCTACCGGGACGAGGCTGCCACTCGAGATCCTTTCTTCCCCATCGGTTATCGGTTCTTCGAGCTATATGGCCGGCCCATTGCCACTTCAGCTTACTAATCCGTTGGGCTATGTCGATCACTCTGGTTTTACTGCGGATATCCTCATTTCTGAGTCTATCACGCAGAGAAACTCCGAGCATAGCCCTCTCCATAGCTCGCGCTGAGCGACCTTGAGCGTCCTCATACGGCCAGCAGTGAAGGACCACGTCTCAGATCCGTAAGTCATCACTGGCAACACGCACTGGTTATACACTTTAGTTTTCAGAGATTGAGGTATACCTGACGAGAATATGTGTCGTAATTTCCCGAACGCTGCCCAGCCGAGTTGAATCCGTCGATTGACCTCTCGGGCGAAGTTGGACTTACCTAGTCGGACTATTTGTCCCAGGTAAACGTACTCGTCAACAACTTCGAGCATAGTGCTCCCAATGACTACCGGCAAAGGTGTGACATGGACATTAAACATGATGTTTGTTTTGTCCATGTTCATCTTAAGACCTATCCGTTGGGAGACACCATTGAGGTCATTGAGCATATTGCTAAGGTCCTCCAGCGATTCTGCCATAAGGACTATATTTTCGGAAATCAAAGGTGAGTGATGTACTCGCCATTGATGTTAATACCGTATCCTTTCCAGTCCAGTAGCTTGAAAAGATCTTCCAACGCAGCGGTGAAGAGTTTCGGGGATATAACGTCACCCTGTCTTACACCTCTCTGCAGTTGGATAGGTTTCGAGCTCTGGTTCTGTACTCGGATAGCCATCGTAGCCCTACTGTACAAACACTTCAACACTTCGATATACCGACAGTCAACTTGGCACCGCTGAAGGAACTGTAGCACCGCCCAAATTTCGACGTAATGAAAGGCTTTCTCATAGTCCACATATGCCAGGCAAAGTGGCAGATTGTACTCTTCGGTCTTCTGTACAATCTGCCGCAGGGTATGTATGTGGTCTATGGTACTGAAGCCTTTTCGGAAACCGGCTTGTTCGGGAGGCTGGAAGTCGTCGAGTCTGCGTGCGAGACGATTCGTAATGACTCTCGAAAATAGCATGTAGACGCGACTCAGAAGGGAGATCGGTCTGTAGTTCTTCAAGAGAGCGTTGTCGCCTTTCTTAAAGAACAAGACCACCGCGCTTTTGCTCCACGCCTCCGGAGTAGTGCCATCATGGAGGACGGAATTGAAGAGCTTCTGAAGGACTTCAAGTACTGGTGTTCCACCCGCTTTCAGAAGCTCCGCTGTAATTCCATCCTCGCCCGGGGCCTTGCCGTTTTTAAGGTGGTGGAGAGCCATTCAAATCTCGCTCAGACTGACGTCCGGGATATCATTGGAATAGTGTCGGATAAGACTTGCCCTTGGATCGTTACTCAAACTTGCGTGTGGATCCAACGATGATGTGTACAGCTGCCCATAGAACCTCTCAATCTCACTCAAAATCTCAGGTGTCCCGGAAACGATGCTGCCACACTCAGTCTTCAGCTTTGACAGTTGGCTCTTACTGGCAGACAGATCTCTGGCAAAGACTTTGGAGCCCTGGTTCCGCTCGATCGCTTCTTTAATACGAGCAGTATTAAAGTTGCGTAAGTCTCGCCGCATGCATTTGGAGATCTGGCTGTTCAGTTGCCTGTATGGTGTCAAATCTGTTGACGATTGCAGCCTCATCCCCCGTCTAACAGCCATGAGATTAAGAGTGTGATCGGAGAGTTTTTGTGTTCTTCTGCGGCGAGTCTTGCAGAACTTAGCTCCGACCGCATGGACAGTTTCCACGAGCTTGTCATTGATATCGTCCACTGCATTGCAATCTTCTAGGCACTGAAAGCGGTTACGTAACTCGAGCTGAAAAGTTTCGGGATTCTGGATTAGAGCACGAGGGGACGGAGCGTTGACTTCATTAGATGAGACCTCTCCAACTTAACGTTTAGGTTCAGTGTGCCTCTAACCATTCGGTGATCGCTGCCAGTTTTCACCCTTGCGATCACTGAGACATCACTGAACAGTTGGCGTCTGGTCGTCATAATGAAGTCAATCTCATTTTTTGTCGAACCGTCGGGGCTCGACCAGGTCCACTTCCTGTGGGGCCGCTTCTGGAAGAAAGAGTTCATCATAAAGAGTCCCTCTTTCTCCATAAAGTCGGCCAGCTGCTGGCCCCTTCGGTTCCGTTGCCCTACTCCAAATTTCCCTACCTTTAGCTCACCGCTTTCTCTTGTGCCTAGTTTTGCGTTGAAGTCTCCCATCAACACCGTGTAGTGGGTTTTGGAGGAATGCATGGCTCTGGAAATATCCTCATACATTTCCTCCACCTCCTCATCTGGATGTGCCGAGGTTGGTGCGTAGACCTGTATGACCTTCAGCGAATACCGTTTGGTGATTCTGAGTATCAGGTACGCGACCCTCGTCGACACACTCCCAATCTTTACAACGTTGTTGACGAGAGACTTGTGGACGATAAATCCGACACCTCCTTGGGACAGATAGTCGCCCTCCCGGTGATAGAACAAGTTGCCGGACTCGAGGATTGCCGTGTCCTCCCCCTCTCTTCAAGCCTCGGATAATCCAATAATATGCCAGCGCAACTTGTCTACCTTTTCTTCCAGCTTCAGTATCTTCTCGTCAGTCCTCATGGTGCGTGCGTTATATGTTGCCAGGTCGAGTCGTCGTAGGTGGCAACCGAACCTCAACCCGGAGATTCGGTTACCATGGTCGCCACCGTAGCCAGGAATAGCGGGGCCACCGGGGACTGGGGGCCGTCTGTTTGCGTCGTTATTCATGGGGGGATATATGCCATAGTTGCCACGCTTGGCGAGCGGGTTGGCAACCGCAGTTTTTTATTATATCACAGTTGTTATTAGGAGGATGCTGCCGCCCATCTCCTGCCTGTCTCCCTCTGTCGCCTCTTACGACACCCACGGGAAGATATGGGATAGTGGATATTCTCAACCGCCACTACACGGCACGGCGGTCTTTATAAAAATCTTATCCGGAATTCCATCCCAGGGAATTTATCCGGCCATTTTGTTTCTTTGATGTCGTTAAGGGCTACTTTGTTAAGGCCAAGGAATCATCTAGTGGCCTCTAACGAAGATTGTGCACAATGTTGTATACTAGGAAAAAATTGCATTTGTAATACCACTGGTATTGCAGTTCTTTACGGTAGTCACTTACCATCAGATAAGCTTGTTTGTCCCCTTCTTATATAAAAAAGTCCTCCAGACCAAATTTTGGTCATTGCGGCCAGTCCTAACGGAGACAAATATTAACATCATATTGTAATCTTTTTGCAGATGAACTAAAACACGTAATGAACATATCGAAACCAAAGTTCCTCTTCTGTTCGATGCAAGGCTATAAGGCACATGAGACCATTTTCAAGACTTTGAACTTTATTAAACAAATAATATTATTTGGAGATCAAAGGCTGGATGGTGCTTTACTTTTTAAAGACCTAGCAACTGCAGGGCCAAATGCGATAATATCCAAGAATGTGAAATTCGAAGAGTTTCAAGGGGTCGAAGTGGAGGGGCAGTCTGAAACAGCTTTTATCATGTATTCATCTGGTACGACTGGACTACCAAAGGGTGTTGTGCTAAGCCACTTAAATGTAATAGTATCAAGCTCCTTGTAAGTACCTTTTGTTATCAATATCATCGGTATTACAGTGCATCACAAATCCACTGTTTAATAAGGCTTCTCCGACATATTGCAATAAAGCAAGAACTTGAGCCAAACCTGCATGTATTTTACATCTATTCACTCCTTGCATATTTCGTTAAATAATTACTTCATTTAATAAGGATCGCCCTTCACTGCTTTTGTCAGTTTAAGACTGTCACTCGAAAATTTTGTTTTTCCCATCACTAATTGCTTTCTCGAGCCATGCCCGGCCTATTCTCACTTTTCCCGAGGCAAAGTAGCCCCCAGTCTCAGCGGGTCTGTAAGTTAAAGCGACAGTTAACCGGCAGTTATCATAATTAACGTTCCTGCTAAATTTGGTCTTACTCGTATTTAGGACTAAAAAGCTGATAAACGGTTGACCCTGCAGACCATTCTTGTAACTTACTGCTTATTTTTGAGCGTAATAACGGTCGAAAACCTGTTTAATTTTTGAGCTCGAAACGATTTTATTTCCTATGATTACTTGAGATGTTTATAGGGCTATAATTTTTGAACCCGTCGTTTAATTTTGAATTGCTTGACGGCATATGACGCAGTTTTTTGAAATTAAAAAGATCAATTGTATGATTTTGAATCAATGGATCGAGGAATTTAAAAGTTTCTCAAAAAAAAAAGAAACGATTATTTAGAATTTTTTAAATGGCAATAATTTTTGAACGGGTCGTTCGATTTTGACCTGCTTAGCGACATTCGACGCAGATTTTTAAGTACAGAAAAGTGTTTCTGATGCCTGGAGTTGAACAAATATTTTGAAAGTTATTTAGAACAAAAGTTAATTAATTTTTTTTTGGTCTTTATTTATTGAAAATCTTTGAAAAGGCTTGACCGATTAACTTGTAAATCTAATCAGTACGAAGTCTCAATAAACACTTTTGAACGCTGTATCACCTATCTCGATCGGTTGATTCATTCTAGAGATATCGTACGATTTTTTATTTACATACATATATACACACCGCATATATACATCCAGCCGGAAATAGACCTCAAAACTTGGAGCTCTGATGAATACTAGCATTCACAAAATCGGACCGAAATCTATAACTTCCTACTTTTGGAACTTATTAATTTTCAAAGCGGAAAGTTAAAAAAAATGGGATGCTTTAATTTACTTTTAGGTTTTATAATTAGCTGAGTTTAGCATTATTTTAGCAGATAGTGTTTAATGTTTATTTTTATTTCCTGCAATTTATAAGGAAATCATGTTAAGAAATCTTCATTCTAAGCGGCAGGGTTTTTTTTGTGACTAGAAGACCGTATGGTAGGTACTTCTTACCTATTTTTTTCGCACGATAAGTTTCCCTACTGCTGTTTAATTTTGAAAACTTCTTTTAAAAGAAATACTTTTTACTTCTATATTTTACTATAATTAATAGAATATGTCATTACTCTGCTGAAATCTATTGTAGTTTTACGACGGTTTTTCCGTAACTCAACGTCTTAACTAGCTAAGTTATTAGGTAATTATTTTCGTATCCTTAATTTCTTAATTTATATGTTTTTTCATCTGACCTTTATCCTTTTCACACGATTGTAGTTAAGTACTCGTTCGAGACCTCGAGATAGATATCATGTGTTTGTACTATAAATGCAAAAAATACCTCATCTTGTTTTCCATTGATTTTGTAATCCATAACACGTTTAGTTTTGTTTAATGTAATCAAATAAAATTAGAAATGTTAATACGAAAAGAAATAACTTTAAGTGTAACTGCTGATAAATGATAATTTATTTTTTTCACTTGTTTGTAAATGTTTATTGAACATGTTCATTAAAACAAAGATGATAAAAGATACTGCTGAAGACTTAAGTGAGGCTGATGTATTTATGTTGCTTCTCCAAACTCTTTTATCTGGAACACAGCAATCGATACATGGCGACAGTAGCTTAATGATTAAGGGCAAGGAATGCAAACTCGAAACGTCATGGGTTCGAGTCCACCATTCCACTACTGTAGTAAACTACCTTATTACAAGCATTTAAGTTAACTTGGAGTGGTTAACAGAAGTTTTAGTAATGATAAAGTACTTTTGGTAAATCCAATGCCATCAAAAACATAACTTGTAAAAAAACCAAGTCTCGCAACTCAGTTCTTCTACCTTAAAAAGTAGTGAAATCCATGTAATACCAAGTCGGTTAATTTATTCAGTCCCTACTTAAGGGCTCTTCTGTTTTAAATTATTACGTAATTAGCTAACCTAACAACATTTTATAGTGACCATATCGATGTTAAAAATCTTTTATCTTTTAAATATAAAGATTGACTTGGCAATCGCACTAAGCAATCTAATTTAATATAATATGTAATACTTGTGAGATACATTGTGTTTTCTTACGATTTAGCTATTCTATGGGTATGTTCCGAAACGTTTTCAGTATACTGCCGAATACAAATGACGTCATCAATTGACACTATATTGTACTGGCGTGCCGCCGTCCTAATGTGTCGGATATCCGGCCATAATAAAACAATTTTTAATTGTGTGTGCGCTGAATGAAGCACGCCAGAATTTGTTTTTATTTATTCAAATACAAAAAATTATAGAATAATTGCTGGTATCTCCATTAGGAGGATATAATGATTTTTGGAGCACAAAATTGCAAAGTAATCGCCAACACTTTTGCAATATGGCGCAAATGTTTTGGAACGAATCACCAGTATATCGTCGATTCATGACGTCGTTTGCTTTCGACAGTACACTGAGTTCAATTTTGGAACATACCCTATATATACTGTTTTTGATTCGGAACTTTGATAGCGCGATTTAGGCTTCGATGTGTTTCGATTGTGGCGCGACGATTGCGCCGCCACAAAACTTTTAATATAATAATGTAAAATTATCAGAAATCAACTTTAATTTTCATCTAGTCATTACCAGTATTTTAATTTAGCACTCATCAAAGTACACCTTCAGGTCACTCTAGTAAGTCCGGAGGTAAGATCTCATCATAACTAACAAAACGAAGCCAAACTCGGCACATCTAATTCTACTCTTCGAGGAGCTCCAGTATCAAATACCGAATACAGCGATCGATATATCGTCACGAGCCGCTGTAAATAAACGATACGAAAATTTCGGCATTTGTTAGCCGAAAAACTAAAAAAAAAAAAAAATTAAACATCCATTTACATTTCATGGCTTCCCACATGCTGGATGAAGAGATAAAAAAATAGATTGAGTTAAATAATTGATAAATATATAAACAATTGATTGATATTTCAAAAGTTATCTTGTTTACCCCCCCCATGCGGATTTGATAAATTTACACCACAAGCCACTAAAACCAATTTTTAATGTAAAAATAGCGATTAATCGATTTAAAAAAATAATAATAAGTTCAACAATCAATTATTTTTTTACAATGTGCTTTTTATGTCATTTATATGTACGATATGATTGTTAGATACGATTTCATGCGACAAAACGTTGGATTCTTGATTTTTAGGCGCTAGTAGAACATACGCGCTTTGCGCTCAGGGTTAGTAGTTACCAATATTTTTTAGAACAGGGTGCCTGTTAAGAATGATAAACGGCAGAAATAGGTAAGCGTGTTGTAGGTACCTACCTAAAGGAATTCTTCTCGTTCAACAGCCCATAAAAGTTCACTGCTGTGAGAGGGCCGTGTCTTATACAACTGTCTTGTAAAAAAGTATACGTATTTGTGTAAGAATAATAAGTTGTTTACTTTAATTAAATTAAAATTAAAATAGTTAATCACAAACAAACTTTCAAAACCACATAACATGATTAAAATTGCTTTTACGCAGACCTGGTGTGGTTGATCCAAAACTGACGATTTTGAATATTACCCCGTGGTATCATGCCATGGGACTGATGACTGGACTCATCTTTTTATGTAATGGATGCAAAGTGGTGTTTCTGACCAAGTTCGAGATGGAATTATATTTGAGGTCTATAGAAAAGCACAAGGTTAGTATGAGAAAACAAAAATCGAAAATTTAAGTCGAATAAAATACTCTTAAGGATTCTTTAGTTTTTTTTTTAATTTTAGAAATAAAATTCACAAACGGGTTTACGGTCCACTTAATGGTAATGGATGCTGAGTTACCTATATCTGTAATAATTGATTTATTATATTGAGACTTTTGCTGAACCTAGTTTTACTCATAGGTTGCCTCGATAATCAATGTGTTCGAAAGGCCTAAGTCTAACTTGAAATCTGCCATTATTACCAATCCCAAATATGAGAAAGTTTTCACGTACAAACGACGACAAAGACAACGACAACGACAACGACAACGATAACGACAACGACAACGTTGTAGCTAGATAGCTTGAGCTCTCCTTATTATGCGATCTCATAATTAGGACGCTTGAACGAATTAACCACGTGGTCAAGTTAGGACATTACAACTTGGCCGCGGGAAACATGGCAGGGGATAAGATAATTTATGAATATGTATTTAAACTACTTTCTCACCAAGTTGTTGATAACTAATTTACGATCTACATTTTTTACTAATATTAATAGTACGAGATGTTTTGTGTGTGATGTAACATACTAAAATAATTTTTCAGGTTAATTACCTATTGTTGGTACCACCGGTGATTCTTGCGCTCACGAAAACACCTTTGAATTACGATATCAGTTCAGTTAAAATAATTCTAAGTGCGGCCGCTGTACTGCGAAAAGAGATTATTAACGCTACCAAAGAGAAGTAATTAATTATTTATAAAACAGGAAACCGTTAATGCGGTGATGGCAGATAGCCGCAGTGAGCTATGACTGCAATGTGAATATGTCGGAATGACGTTTGCAGAGCATACTAAAGTAAATACACATCGTGTAGACGTCAAAATGTTCCTCCAATAACCAGCTATATACACACAATATAAAACGACAGCCGTTGTCTACCTATATTAAAAGTTTTTATTAACACGCTTTTATTAGCTTGACCTTTATGTATGTATGTATGTATGAATGTAACGGAATCTTTTAACTTCATTTTCACCTACCTCTATTTTAATTGAAATGTTTGTTTGTTAGTGTCAAATCTTGTAACTGAATTTTAAACTTTCAGCTCAACCGATTGAGCTGAAATTTTGCATACGTGTGTTGTTTGGATGACAATGCATGGTTAGGTTAGGTTAGTGACAAGTGACATCATTCTAAATCCAATATAGTGGAACACCCAAGTGGGCGGACGAGTTATTTTTATGGATATCAAATGAATGAATTTGCTGAGAAGAACACAAATATAAAATGACATCACTCTAAATCCAATATGGCGGACTCCCGCAAATAGGGGATTATTTTTTAACTTCCCCCTAAGAAAATTAAAAATTTTCAAAAATAGGGAAGTTATTGGTATCAACCCGATTTTCGGAAATCGAGTTTTCATCAGATCTCGACGTTTTGAGATCCCAGGAAGCTATTCTGACAAATTTCACGTGGAAGTCCGTACGGATGTATGTATGTGTGTGTGTGTTTGTGTTTGTGTAAGTATGTAAACCCTTTTATAACTTTTGAAGGTCTTGATCGAATGAGATGCGTTTTCTAAAGATCCCAATGTGGAAAAGATTTGGTGATAATATGAACTGATTCAGACGAGTAGATTTTGAGAAATCTCAAAAATAAAAATGTTGAAAAACTGTTTTTTGGAATTACTTTTAAACGGCTATACCAATCGATTTCAAAAACTAATCCACTCTTAACCTCAAAAATGACGTCGAATGACGTTTGGAAAATAAAAATCGGTTCATTCGTTCGTGAGTGATATCGAAGGAGAAAGAATTTGAAAAAAAAAACGTTTTTTAACATAACTTCGAGATTTCGTAACATAATTTGGTGAAATTTGGAGCGCCTTGCATTTGAAATTAGCAGGAATTTCCAGGGATGGCCTTCGAAAACCGACGATTCGGGCTCTCTGTTAATTGTGGTCAAGGGGAAGGAGCTGATATTAGGGTAAGAGACAATATGAAAACAGTGGGGTTTCCAGAGAAAAGAATAGTATTCCATATGAGCTGAGCCTGCGCTTCGTAAAGCTGCAAGCTGTGGACCGGCATGAAATACCGTCTCGAGCCACGGAATAGCTGCGTGTTTCAACAGGTAGTTACTCCATTTAGTGGTGGAAAGACCAACGGCACACATACCGGTACGAGGCTGCAACTTAAGGGCCTTTAATAATTTGTCGGTTTTTCGAACTATGTGGTAGGCCCATTGCCACATTGTATGATTATTTTTAGAATATTGATGGCTAATTCACCTATTTAATCAATTTATTAACAAGGGACTATTCAGTATGTAAGAGCCTATTAAATATTTATGTATGCATTTAGCAATTAAATTACTGCAGACAACTAATTACTACATTTTTCGACACGCACGTTCAAGTGACGAAAGTACAGATAAAAACATTCATTGCTTATATTGCTGAAAATGTTTAACATCAATTAAAATTACAACGTGCTGTGCTTGTCTTAAACTACGCTCCGATTGTCGTATTCATAAACAATCCAGTGCTTGCGCAGGCGGTCATTGAACTCTGCCCACTCGCCATCGATGAGAACAATAAGTAGACATCACGCTGTTTTTGTCTTAAACTACTCTCCAATTTTCGTATTCATAAACAACCCGATGTATGACGTAGTGGTGGCGTGATCTTAGGTTCCGTTCTAACTACCAATTTACTCGCCACACTATTCCCCTCGCTGAGACCGTAACTACGGGTGATAGTAATCCGGAAACCACACCGTGCGTCCGTTTCTGGTCGTTTTGGTGGTAGTTTGACCATAGTCACTCCGGTTTAATGGAATGGTCTCTGCGATCTAACAACATACGCTGGCTTTAGGCGGTTTATTTGTGACCTGCCACTGATTTCTACGAGGAATGTTTTGGAGCCGCGTCTCACGACTTTGGAAGGACCTGAGTAGGGTGCCTCGAGTGGTCTTCTTGCGGGACTTTAGCGTACAAAGACATGCCTCGAAGTTTGTTGTGTCTAAGATCTTTGGGTAAATAAAATATTCGACTGGAACTGCCATGCCAAGACGTAGGTTGTGGAGTCAATCTGCTGACTTGCGTGCTTAGTCGACCAGCCACGTTGGTTGCATCCGTCTTCGTATTGGTACTCGGGGAAAAGAACTGTCCAGGCAAACGGAGTGGTTCGCCGTAGACTAGCTCTGCTGCCGACGATTGTATATCCTCTTTCCAGGTGCTGCGGATACCGAGGAGGACCCACTGTAGAATTTCAACAAAGTTGCAAGATGAGTTGCAAGTGACACACTGAAAATCAGCGCCATGGAAAAAAATTCATGGCATTATGCTGAGTGTGCTCCTGTTCCCAGATGACGCCTTGACACATACTAGTATAGGTATTGTATAGTTTGTAATATGTAGTATATTGTAATTTGTATTGTATAGCCAATATTATTTGTAAATTATGTGTTTTTTTTATGTTATCTGTGAGGGCGTCATTTTGGAGAATAAACCTTGCTTTCTTTCTTTCTTTCTTTGATGGCGGACTTCAATTGGCGGTGCAGTCGTTCCACGAGACTATTGGAAGCTGGGTCTAGCGTGGCAAGTTCCTTGAAAGTGTACGATAGGAACTATCTGACACGGTCTGTTATGATATATTCTGGACATCCGAAGCGTGAAATACATCCATTTGTTAGGGCGATGGTGCACGTCTCTGCTGTCATGTCCTGGAGTGGGTATGCCTCAGGCCAACGAGTTAAACGGTCGACAATTGTGAGGCAGTACCTGTACCCAGAACATAACGGTAAAGGACCGATCAGGTCAAGATGTATATGCCGGAAGCGTGCTGACGGGAGCATGAATGATGCGAGCAGTGCTGAAGTGTGCCGAAATACTTTTGATCGTTGACAGCGCTGGCATTTCTTTGCCCAATTACAATCCTGCTTAATGCCAGTCTAGACGAACCTCTACGTCATTGGCTTGACAGTAGCCTTCGCTCCTGGATGCCGCAAATTATGTAGTGCATAGAATACCTGTCTGCAGAACGAAAGTGTGATAAACGGCCGTGAATGAATCGGGGTGGAGACTTTACAGTTTTTCTGTGGGTCCGGTTCCGGTGTTCTATGCTTCTCCCAATTTAGGGCAGAGCCATTCTTCAGCAGATCTTGTAGCTCACTGTCAGTATCTTGCTCACTGGCTAGCGACTGGTAATCTAAAGACAAAGAAATATTATTTTTATTAAATAGGCATTAATGTGGGATAGAGTGTCAGCGACAATATATCCCTTCTGGCGATATATCTGATGTCCGTAGTAAACGGCTGATGAAGTCAAGGTAGTGAAACTGTCGTGGCGAGCAGCTCGTTCGGTATGTTGTAAAAGCAAACGTCTGTGGCTTGTGATCTGTTATGATCGTGCTTCGACCATGAAGCGGAAGTGTTTGATGGTTTCGTAAATGTAAAGAAGTTCGCGATCATAAGGACTATACTTCCTCTGGCTTGGACTTAGCTTCTTGGAAATGAACACCAGTGGTTTCCATTCGCTTTCCTGGTATTGCTGCAAGACTGCTCCTATTGCTGAATCTGAAGCATTTGTACGAATTGCCAGCTCTGCTTGCGAATCAGGGTGTATCAATAGTGTGGCTTCAGAAAGACTGTTCTTGCAGTGATTAAAGGCCTCCAACAGCGCGGGTTGCATATCGATAGGTTGCGAACCTTTCGTCTTAAGGCCGGCGAGGATTTGGTTCAGTGGAGATTGAATGGTAGCTGCATTTGGGATTAAGCAGCGATAAACGTTTACCATTCCGAGAAAATGTCTGAGTTCTATACAGCGGCAAAGACCAAGGGCTTTTAGATATGCGTGCTATGCCGTTTTGTAACATCTCCTCGAACTACTGCTTTGCAATCTTCAAGCGCTCAGGGTCTAAGCGACGTGGATGAGCGGTAACAGGTGGGCCCGGAGTAGTGCGGATGTAATGTACCGTTGAATGTTTGATTAACTTTTGCTTACCAGCAGTACGAGTGAGGTCAGGAAACTCTCTCAGCAGACGATGGTAAGCGCTGTCATCGATAATTGTTCGAACAGATGAGATTACCTCTGCTGAAGTCTGTCGCGGTACGGCAACTGGCAATCGACTAGGAGGTTGTAGTGACCTAGAAAGTCGACGCCGATGATGGGCTTTGAGACGTCGGCTACGATGAATCGTCATAGTCAGTCAAGTCCTAAGTCGATTGTTAATGGCAAGTAACCATAAGTAGAAATAATTGTTCCGTTCGCTGCGAACAACTCGTACTTGGTCTTGTTTCGTGGCTCCCGAACGGCGGATCTCAGAAAGACTCACAGGTGAACCTATATCTATGAGATGTTGCACTTTTGTTTTGCGGAGCATAATGAACAGGCGGCTCGAAGTAGTACTAGTAGACAAACCGGTAGTAGTAGAAGCAATCAGGGTGATTGCTTGGACGAGAGCGTCAACGGGTGCAGTGCTTCATTTTTGGACCATTAGAGCGTAAACGTGAACGCCTACGGAACTTAATATTCATTACTTTCACTTTTTGCCTAAGCTTCGTCACTATCCGCGTTAAGGCATCAGTGCAGATGAGGTACTAGATATTTGAGTAAGTACTCGACTGTTGGTTAGCATAGTTACAGGAACAAAGTCTATGAGTTCGGCTACGTGTTCTAGCGACATCTTCGTTTGCTGCGCGGCAATGCAGGTCTGCAAGTGTGTAGGAAGTCGACTTGCCCACATTGTCCTGATGAATTCAGCTGGTTAATTCGCTCCAGCTAGGTGCTGTAAATGCCGAAGGAATTGCGTTGGCTCTCTGTCTCCTATCTCTTCATGCATTAACAGCTGTTTAATCTGTCTTTCCTGGGAAGCAGAGAGCCTTTGTATCAGCTCCACCTTCAAAGTATCAAAATTGTTTGTTGCTGGTGGGGAAACTATTAAGTCTCGTACTTTCGCTGCATGTTGCGGTTCCAGCTATGCCAGGACGTAGTAAAATTTCGTGGCGTCAGCGCTGATGCTGGACAACGTGACTGCCCATCCAGAACAATAAGTACACATCATGCTGTGTTTGTCTTTACTCTGCGATTGTCGTATTCATAAACAGCCCGATGTATGACGTAGTGGTGGCGTGATCTTAGGTTCCGTTCTAACTACCAATTTACTCGCCACAAATATTAAGCAGTTCATTTATGGATTAAGGATTAATCCAAACAATTATTTATAATGAAAACCATGTATTGATTGTCATTTGGCCTTAACATTAATGGCGCTGAAACTAGCAATAGCCAAATTATTTTACCACAATATAAATTTAATATCTGTAATAAATGAAAACGATTCATAGGAATATTTATATTTTAAAATGCAGGTTTAAGAATTTAATAGATGTTTACCAAGGCTATGGGATGACAGAAGCTACAGCTGTCGTGACGCTGAATTCTTTCATTGGTGGGAAAAAATGTAGACTTGGCAGTGTAGGAGAAGTAACTAGCGATACAGTAGTTAAGGTATGTATTGATAGTTTAAACTGTTACAGAGATGGATACAAAATGTGAAATGAAGGCCTCCATATTTTTTAAAACCAACTTTTATTTTCCACCTGATGGCATTTATTTATTATCCACCTTGACTGCCTCTTTGGTCTAGTGATTGTAAAGGCAACTTCTGATGAGATCTCAGTTTTAAGTTCCGGGTCAGGCCAAAAATTTCAGTTATGGAGTTTTCTTTTCAAAAAATTGGAGTTAGAAAGTGCACCCTCTTGATTTGGAAAGTACATAACATAGTCGTTGGTCCTACGCCTGATCTCTCTCCGGTTGTGTCGGATTGTTGTCCCCACGGGTTAAGAAAGTGAGTGTATAGAGAGTGCACCGGTACTCGATGTGTATACACTCGACCACTATAATCCCGTTCTGTACTCCGTTGAGACTAAATAGGATAGAATATTGATTTACTTGCATTGAATGTAGGTATCCACTATAAGGTATTGACAGAGTACATAAGGGATTCGTACATTCTACTATTTTGGTACGATATCATATTAAATTAAAATTGGTTTGTATACAACACCAGTAATTAATTATTATAAATACATTTAATATGATAGTTATGCGTGTAAATGGTTATTAAAATTTTTTTCCTTTGCCCCTAAACTTCCGACGTTTGGTCTCCATTTTCGAAGGCTATCGATTGGTTGGGTTTTTATTTATAAATAGCATATGTGCAAGATAATTGTTATCAACTTTAGTATCCGAATTTTATTAATTATTGTTCATATCGTAAGTTACTAATTAGTTGCCGTGTGTAATGGCTTAAGAAAATCCATTATGCCACCCATTTTGTTCCGTGGGTATCGTAAAAGACCACTATGGGAAACGTCAGAATGGTATACACTCTCATTTAATATAAAATCATCATCTAATTCAAAGTAAAATACCCAAGACTCATGACAGTCTGCCGAGCGTGACGATTTAGGCAAATCCTAACTACAGCTGGAGAGACACTTGTTCAGCAGTAGACTTTTACGTGATGATGGAAAAGAAGAATATACTTAGCACTAAAATTGCTTAAAGTCTGCATTTTATTCTTACAAACATCGTACCTACATACATTCTTATATACATATAAAATCCCACCCCTGTTATCCAAAGGGGTAGGCAGAGACTACGAACTTTCATTTGGCACGATGCTGACACACCTCTCTCTTTTCTTTCACGTCTATGATTTGACTTTTCTTTAATTTATCACTAATTTAGTCAATAAACTTCCGTCTAAGGCATGCCTTGCCGACTCTGCCACTCACTCACAAAAATGTTTGTTATTAATGTTTTTCGTTTAAGATTGTGGACGTGGAAACACGTGAACCATTAGGACCAAATCAGAATGGAGAAATATGTGTTAAGGGTCCAATGATTATGAAGGGTTATATAGGAAAAGAGAGAAGTGAAGATTTCGATGAAGAAGGATTCTTTAAAACTGGTGATATTGGGTACTATGATGAGGATAAATATTTGTACATTGTAGATCGGTTGAAAGAGTTAATCAAGTACAAGGGTTATCAGGTAAGGACCAGCTACTGTAATATAATACGTTAAATTTTTTTCCATAGGAGAGGTGGCAAACGAGCGTACGGCTCACTTAATGGTAAGTGACTACCACCGCCCATGAAAAACTGCAACATCGTGTAACTCAGGTGCGTTGCCGGCCTTTTAAAAAGGAGTATGCTCTTTTCTAGAAGGTTCCTAAGTCATACCAGTCCGGAAAAATCGACGGTGGTAATCTTATCCACAGAGAGGTGGTACGTGGAAAAAAACTCCTCGTGAAACGTACAGTGGTGGACCACCAAGAATTCGGATGGTGTGGATGGTATCGGGAGTTTTGCCGCGATGTGCATTCATGAAATTTGGCGGCAGGGCTTAATCCGAACAGAGTACTCCTCGTGGTAGATGCGCAAGAAAATGCAAAGAGATGCAACATCTCTTCGCAGCGTGAGTGAATCAAAGCGATCGGAAAGGACTCAGTCGTTGAAGATTCGAGTTCCTCTGACCTGGATGAGGTCAAGTAGAAGGCGTTGACACTGGAGAGCCCCAGTCCAGAGATGGGAACAGTATTCCAAGTGAGACCGCACCTGAGCACGCCACGCTTTTTAGAGACCAATTAGGCGTTCTCTTCTAAGTGACCACGAAACTGCCCGTCACTCGGTATTTCGACGTCGAGGATTCCAAAACTAAAAACGTTTAAAGTTTGTAAACATGTCCGGATGTTTATTATCTATCAGCCATAACGGTTAAACGACTTTGCGCATTTGATTGTTATATACTCGTAGATGTACTGGGTTTTGAATTCACACTAAGAATGAAATTTTTTGCCAAGGGAAAATGATACCGTAAAAGGTACCATGGAAATTAATGTTATGAGAACAAGTGGTAAAATAAAATTTTTTGCATACTACTGACTTCAATATAAATAAAATATGAACATCATCAATGTAGCCGAAGACAATTAAATACGCATTAATAAGGACAATTAAAAAACACTCTTATTTTTATTATAAATGAGAGCACCAGCTTTCAATAAAAAGAATCATCAATAACAAGTCTACTGCTGAACACCGGCCGTCCCCAAGGAATGCCACAAAGCACGGTCCTGAGCCACCTGCATCCATGTCTTACCAGGTCGTCACTCCATCTAGTGGGGGGCCACCCTAAAATTCGGCTACCAGTATGAAGGCTGCCACTTAGACCTTTCTTCCCTATCGGTTGTTGGATCTTCGAGCCATATAGCCTTTATCGGCTATGCACGCTAACTAATCCGTTGGGCTATGTCGGACTTTGATTCTACTGCTTGCTCACTTCTGTTCTATTTCAAAGATCTGTTAGTCAGCAATATTTGAGTGAGTTACAATTCTTAGAAGACTAAAGGCTGCTACGTGTTACATCGAAATCATTACATTGAAATCGACATTAATACAAATTTCTCATATATATGTCTATATCTAGCAGAATTCACGTCTCTGAGTAAAACATTAATAATATTAATATTTTTTAAATTAAATATTAATTACAGGTTCCTCCAGCGGAGATAGAAGCAGTGCTACTGCAACACGAGGGAGTTCGCGACGTAGGCGTTGTGGGGATGCCTCACGAATCGGCAGGCGAAGTACCTCTCGCATTCGTAGTGCTTCAAACTGGTGTTGAACTCACGGAAAAAGAGCTTCAACAATTCGTGGCTGAAAGGGTCTGTAATGTACTTTTTGTAGAATAAGGGAGACAGGCGTACACACAGTCAACTTGATGATAAGTGGATGCTGTGGGCCATGGACATTTACTTCTCTCCCCGATTAATAAAAATAGTAGATATGTTATCAACTCTGAGGACTAAGAAATATTATAAATTTCATTTCCAGTAAAAAGGGTCTCCGGTTCTCCTTACTTATCATACGCAACATAAACATTAAGCAGTCATGCAACGCTGGTATTCTAGGATATTTATAAAACTACTTGTTTATTACGTCATCTGTAGGAGATATTTCACTTGTGTGATTTTAACGCGAATAGACAGGTCAATTAAGGCTCCGTGGTGACGGTGACTTAACTCCTTTACTAACGGACTTGTCCCGCGCGGAACAAGTAGGTATTTGTAATTACACGTAATTGTTTAGGGTACACGTAATACTAATGGTCTTAGTTTTTTTAATCTTTATAGTTATATTTTTGTTGCAGTTATCCAATCCAAAACATTTGCGTGGGGGAGTGCGATTTGTCAAGGAGATACCAAAAAACCCGAGTGGAAAAATTCTACGAAGACTTCTTCGGGGAATGTTGAAGAAAAACTTTAACCATTTGTAACTAATTTCACTTTATGGAAAGGCTATTTGTAACTGTAATTAATGATCGGATACTTGTTTAACTTATCTTTTACCCCAAATAGTTTCAAAATTACATAATATTACGTTGTTTTTTTTTTCATCCATTCTTAAAATTCCGCTGCTGGTCTCTCGTTTCGGCCAGGATTCAATATAATCGCCACACTTAACAGACAGATTTGCGATGGCATTACCAAATTTTGATACTCTCGATATTTTACGTCTGATGTAACCGTAGTGGTTATATCGCCATATGTCGGAAGCCATAAGATGTTTCTGTTTGTTCGTAATTCATTAAATATGTTTCCAAACAAAATAAAAAATATCATCAAAGCCCATCATAGATAACTACTGAACATATGGGTCCGCCATAATTTGTCTCATAAATCTCTAATATTTTCTATGTAGGTACGAGTATGACATAGTTTCCACGTTTCGCATGCGGGTTGATGTCCACAGATTTCTTTAAATTTTGTGTTATTTGAGGAATTCGTAAACGAATTAAAAAAAATTAAGGTTCCACGCTATAAGGGCTTATTATATATGAGTAGTGTGATCCCCCAGTTGTTACCGACTTGATAGATGTCTTATGACAGATCTCGGAAATTCATTTTATAATGAAGTAAATGTGATTATAATCTTCCAATCCACGCTATAAGGGCTGCTTATATATGAGTAGTGTGATCACTCAGTTGTTACCGACTTGATAAATGTCTCATGACAGATCTTGGAAATTCATTTTATAATGAAGTAAATGTGATTATAATCTTCCAATCACTCTAGAACAGTAACTTCTATGTAAATATCAATGTAAATTTACATTTTTGGAGTAAATTCAACCAAAGATGGCCATGCCCGTGCCACTCAAACGATATAGACTAGGAGCCAGTGAAAGGCAGACCGAATGAGGAAAGCCTAAAATTTTCTCAGTAAGTCTGTTATACATACCAACCATCAGAAATAATAGAGGGCTAAGCCAGGTCGCCGTAGCTTCAGCGTGAGAAGATTAAATTTACGACAATTATCACTGTAAGACATAAATGTGTGTGCAGTGCCGTCGCACCTGAAATTTAGAGATTTTAAAAACTTTTTCTGAATACGCTTTAGGCGTGCCTTATAAACTTCATATGAAGGCGACAATATAAGACTAGCGTACTTCAATATGCTTCTCACGTGTGTAAAATATAACGTTTTCAATGCTAAAGTACCTTTAAACGGTTAACAGGTTCTTAGAACAAATCCAAGCATACGGTAAGCCAGTGGTCTCCAATTAGTTTCGGTCGGGGTCCGTTTTAAGAAATGAAATGACCATCGTGGTCCGCACATTTTATTTATAAGAAAGAATATTTATTAAACAAACGTAATTAAGGAAATAACAAAGGTATTTGGTTACATAGGTATCAATGCGAAAAATGACATTTTTTGTTGCGAATTATCTGTCTGAAGTTTGGAGTAAAATTGGTGCAAGTTATTGACATCAAATCCTGGAGATGATCAGTAGTAAGTCGAGATCGAAATTTATTCTTAATAAACTTCATCTTCGAAAATGCTGCTTCACAAATATATGTCGATCCAAACAAAGTAAGAAGTTTCAAAGCTAATTTTTGTAATTCTGGATATTTATTACCACACACAAATTTTATCCAGAACTCTTCACTGGAAACTTCCGATTGTTTGTGTTTTAAAACTGTGTTTTCTTGGAAATCGATCATTTCCATCTGCAGAGTAGCTTTATCACTTCCGAAAACAATTGCAGCTTCATTGCTCCATTCACCATCAGGATGCAGAGAGTAAATGCTGCTGAGGATTTCTACAACATTCTCAATTTTCTTAAAATCTGCAAACCTTTTTTTGAAATTCCGATTTAAGATCCGTAATGAACGTCTTGAATCGGCCGACATCAGTCTCGTTATCACTGCTGATTATTTTACTTAAATTGGGGAAGTGTAGACATTCATTTCCAAGATCATTAATAAAGAGATCAAGTTTTCGAGAAAAACTTTTGACGTCTGACATGAGCTCGCATATCATACTATATAGCTTTCCCTTGCCTTGAAGTTTAAGGTTCAGGTCATTGATATGTTTAAAAGTATGAGTTAAGAAAGCAATGACAGCAACATTTTCTTTTTCGTTTAGAAAACTTAAGTAAGCGTTTGCTGAAGTCTGATCACTGTTAGAAAGATATGTCTTCAAGTGTTCTAAAATGCTGAAGAATCTTTTTAAAACGCAACCTATACTTAACCATCTCACATTATTATGCAACAGTAGATCGTCATATTGTGCATCAACTTCTTCAAGAAATGATTTCAATTCACGGTGTTGCAATGATGATTTAGCACGAAGAAAATTTACTATTTTCATCACTTCTTGCATAATACGCTCAAAATTATGATTGAGTTTGCAGCAAAGCACAGTTTGATGAATAATACAATGGTAGGAAATCAAATTTTCGTTACATCTCTCATTGCTTCTCAACAGGTGAACTAGTCCTTTTTTACTCCCAACCATAGCTGGCGCACCGTCAGTAGTTACCGATAAGAGCTTCTTCAAGTCTAACTCATCTTTTTCAAAATAATCCATCACTGCTTTGATCATGTCTTCTCCTCGGGTTCTTCCTAAGAGCGGCAAGAGAGCCAATATCTCCTCAAAAAAAGTTTCTCTCGTTTTGTCCAGGTAGCGTACAAAAATAATTAACTGTGCCGTATCAGTGACATCGCATGATTTATCCACAGCCAAGGAATAATAGTTTGCATTATTTAACTGCCGTTTCAAATCAAAATGATTTTCTTCTGCCAAAACGTGTGTATTTCTAGTGCTAGTAGAAGCAGATAACGGGATCCGTCGTATCGTCTCAACAACATCCTTTTTGTTCTCAAATAAAGCATTACCCGCCTCAAGAAAGCATTCTTTAACTACGTCAGCATCAGTAAATGGTTTCATATGCTTAGCCAGAGTCCAAGAAATACGTAAAGAAGCCTCACCACATTTTTCCTGCTCAGTCATTGAGCGACTTATGATCTGGGTCGAAGACGAGTAACTTGATAGTAAACTTGCAATTTTAGACTTACGCTGATCACTACCAAGTGGAAAGTTTCCAGCAAATGATTTGTGTTTGGTATCATAATGTCGTTTTATATTCGAGCTTTTAATTAACGCCACTGTTTGGTTACAAATCAAGCACATTGGTAACGCTCCAGCACGATTTGGCAGCGTAAAACAATATAAATCGGTCCATTCCGGCAAAAACTGTCTATTTTCATCTTCAACTTTTCTTTTTTTCGGTTCCATAGTCAAAACTCGCTATAAACAGCCAAAACTCGCTATTGTAAACAGGTAGGTACTTATACTCGTAAAGTAAACAAGCAAACGTTATATTTATTTCAGCGCGCCGCGCGGCGTCCTTCGCTCAAAATTAAAACAAAACACTGACCTCCCAGCGGCTGTCAGAGCGATCACGTGATGAATTACCCTGCCCTCGCGACACTTGCCGCAATCCGCGAACTCTTTCTCGCTCGCTCGTTACTTCGCCCGGCCGTTTTCAAATTGACGTCAACAAAGATAATGCCTGGGATACATTATTATTAAATTACGTACAGCTCGCGTCAATCTTTTTGGAGCCAAGGAAGTTATTTATATCGGAAGTAGTCTTTAGTGTAAGGACTGTGTTCTCGCGGGTCCGCACAAAATGGGTCGGCGGTCCGGATGCGGACCGCGGTCCGCCATTTGGCGACCCCTGCGGTAAGCTCTATCTGCTATATTATCATAATGCATATTGAGCAGCATCTTGGAGTCAAAACAAATGCCGAGATTGTCTTTAGAACAAACGGAATAACAGTTGGAGAAGCATTAATTTGAGCTAAGTATGAAATTAATTGCTGTGGACTTTCATCTTTCATAACCTGGCTATTGAATCCAACCCGCATCGGGATATTTGGAAAATCGAGAGCATGAGAAAGCATCCAAACAGTTGTAAACAGCAAGATTTACAACAATATTGTCATCTAGGATGAATTTCGGCTGAAAATTGCTACTCATTTTACGGTTTAGACAAAAAAGGTAATTTAGGATCTATAGCCCGATATGATCGTCTCTTACGTCGATTAGTGAAAGTTTCTGGTAGTCCTTCAACTTTTGTTTCGTGTGTGGGATCGATGTTTTGGTAAATTATTCCTACTGCGTCATGTAGGGTATTTTACCCAGTTTTTGTGTCTACTAACCTATTAAAGTTATGATAAGCTACTGTAACTGATAAATTTTGTATATTATTCATGGTTTTAGGATATAATCCGGCTAGTGACGATGTAGTGTACGTCGCTTCAGTTTCCAATTTTTCAATTACACGGTAACTGATATAATGTCCATACTGGTTTATGTACAATTTTGCGGCCACTAGTGGACTTTTGATTTTTTTATTTATTTATATCTAAGCTAATACGAGGAAGTTTTTACGTTACCATTTTGCGTGACATAAATTAAATCTTGACATAAAGAATTAGTGTCACGTTTGAAATTGTCACAATTGCGTCGTTTACGTCTAGAACCTCCAATTACTGAAGCAACCAAATCAAATACAAGTGGTGGTACAGAACATGATCCCCGTATTATTATTTGAATACTTAATTGTTGTCAAGTAATTTTATTTTCTCAATGCTCATTATTTTTGACACAAAATGGATGCTGCGACTAAAATATCTTGGTATTTTAGATGGGTCAAATAACGATTCATAGATAGAAGTAATGTTTATTTTATAACTTATTGACTATTTCATTGTATTGATCGGTTATAATCTTTATATTTCGCAAAATACTTTTTTCGAAATTATTTTTTCCAGTAGTATGTAAGGCGACGATGTTACCCTGAATTTTTTTAAACAAAAGAAGCATACTTTATTTAAATTTCTTGGAAATCTCTTAGATTACCTACCTACTTAGTGAATATTTGCGATTGTTGTGTAATTTGTTTCGAAAATCATTTTCACTATTTAATTAGAATATTTTGAGTGAAGTTAATTTAATTTATTTTTCATTTGTTGTTATAATAATTAAATAACATTCTTTTAGTTTGATGTGTTACTGTATAATATAGGTTTTTAGTTTTAATTGTAAAAGTATCTGTGTTTAATTTGTGTGTATAATAATATAGTTTTCTTTTTATTTTACTAAAGATGTTTAAGTAGGTAGTATTTTTTATTAGAAGTTTACTTTAGTGTTGTTTTTTGCAATTTTCTTATATTTATAAATTTGTCTGTGTCTACTTTTTAAAATGGGAGCAGAGTTGGTTAACATCAATGGGAAATTAATAATCCTTACTATTGTAGCAATAGTGGGCGATGGCGCATGCCTTTTCTGTACGGTTTTTTATTTGTTGTACGGCACACAAGAACGCTCAATGGATATTCGTAAAGAAATTGTGCGTCATGTGACGAACAATTGGGATGGTATGGCAATCATAGGACAAAAGAGATCATATATTAGATATGTTCGTTTCTGGGAGTGCAGCGTTGTTGGTCTTTGATGCCCGTGATGCTGATGGTGATGGAGCCAAAATTTAAATGACTGTATCTCCGACGTTTACTCAACATTCACCAATTTCTAATGTTGTGCAAGATTTCATCCGCCTGCTTATACAATTACTGAATCTTAATGTGAGTCTGATTTAGTTTCTTCTTTGTCCCCGAATAATTGCATAGAATCTCTCACATTTACTACCCAAGAGTCGTTCAAAATAAAATTAGTAGTAATAACAAATAAGTTACAAAAAACCAAGGCGAAGAAACGCAGGGCTTTCTTCTAGGACTTTTCTTACCTTAGGATTACCAATGTGGTCAGACAATTGCAACTTAAGGAAGCAAGAAAAAATATAATCCAAATAAACCTTCTAAGTATCGTAAAAAATGCAGCAATTATCAAAAAAAAAACACCCGAAAGTTTACAAGCAGGCTATCGTTGATTACCAGCGGGAACACCCTGAAGTACATAAGCAGGTTGCAAGTAAATATGAGCGCAAACAACTTGAAGTGTACAGAGTATCACAGTTACGATATGAACGAAATTATGAAGGACAGCTAGTTGAAAGACGTCTACAACCTTGGAATTCTAAAGCCTTTTCTGGATTAAGTTATTAAGCTATTGCATAGCTTCTATCGCGGGCCTTGAGCGCGGGGACCGAATCCAGAAATTCCGTAACGAAAAAAACCTCACGCTCCCCACTCCGATGGGCACGGAGGTGTGGCGTTGAAAGCCGTGCATTGTCGAAAGCCGTGCATCGTCTAACGTCGTTTCTGTTCGGCAGACTTCGGCACGGTGTTTGTGTGCGTGCGACTAGACGTATGCGTGTACACTAGCTGATAACTCAATGATAAAAATTCCTGAATAACCTACATGTATTGTAAGATATTAAAAATATTTTAAACAATATTAACTTCTCATTTATTCAATAAGAGAAAAAAATTGTTTTCTTATCGGTCACCACGCTCAAAAAGTGTAACTTGATTTAATATCAAAGACTTAACTGCATAAATAAAATAAATAAATAATTATAATTGCATAAGTTGATAAAAAATGCTATGCAATAGCTTTACCGCGGCAGTCACCGAGTGCCACACGTATTTTTATAGTAACTTAGCGTTCGATAGTGATAGTATTGTTGTTTCGGACCAATGAACATCGAATGCAAGTGGTGTAAAACTCTTAAGTACAAGAATGAATCTGTGGGAATGTGCTGCAATTCAGGAAAGGTCTAGTCTGGTTAAAACCCTTCACCCTGAGTATGATCACTTCATGGCTGGCATACGGTATTATAATACTTGTTTTCAAATGACCTCATTCGGAACTAAAAAGAAAATACAGGGTGGTTTTATGCCTACATTCAAAGTGCATGGTCAGGCGATCCTCAGACCAAACAACCGCTTGAAAAAAGTGTCTGTTGCAAGTTTTTGTTCTTACCGTATAATGATTAGGAATGCTATATTTTTGTTCGCTGTTTAGACAGTTTTTAGTTGACATGTTTACAAAAATCGAGACGGGAAGGTTGAGTTATATTAGGAACGATCAGTTGCAGCTTAGAGCGGACAGTTATATACACTTGCAAGATACGACAAGGAGACAGGACGTTGATGTTGATCAGGCGAGTCAAAAGGTGCTGCTGCCTTCTTCTTTTACTGGGGGGTCACGCTATGTGCAAGACGCCATGCCGTATGTATGCCACTACGGTCGTCCCGATCTCTTTATAACATTTTCTTGCAATCCTCGATGGGATGTAATTACGGAGATGCTTTTGCCTGGGCAAAAAGTAATGATAGACCTAGGCAACACAATAGCCAGGGTTTTCACCTCAAAGCTCAGAAAATAATGGCACTTTTAACCACAGGAAAAACGTTTGTATAATACTCGTATATTTCTGACATTTCGAGCACTTTGAGCACAGCACCCACAATGGGCGGGGGCGGGAGGGTGGCGGACTAAGATGTTCAACGTACAGATTTCATTGTTAACCGCGGTTGCCACAGATTTAAAATAACACATTTTTGTTCTGATCTACACCGTATGAATTAATAGTATGTTGAAGTCTTGCAATTGTATGCTAGGGTTGGGATTTAATGTTATTAACTATAGTATCCCATGCAGTGGTAGCGGCCAGCTATCTTTTATGTTGAATTTAGGATGTTTTTTGATTTCAATAGCCTCGCGAATCATCATTGGAAGGAATCGGTGTTCTTTAGCGAGTATTTGTGGTCTATCAAATCTGCTGTAGTGACAGGGGCGATCCTGTACATGTTCACAGACTGCAGACTTCCCGGAGCGTCGATTCTTTACATCAGTTATATGTTCTTTAACGCGGGTTTTAATTGAGCTTTTAGTTTGTCCTATGTAAGAGAGACTACATTTACAATCAAGCTTGTACACTCCTGAATATTGCAGAGGGACATTACACTTGACTGATGGTAAAAACTAACTAATCTTCTTCGGCGGCTGAAGTATTTTCAATCGAAGCTCGCTTCAAGATGTAGCCAATCTTGTCAGTGACTCCTCTGACATATGGCAGTACAGCAAGTACACGTTCGACTGTGGCCGGCTTCACTCGTTCACTGTGACGTAGGCGCGGGACCCGAAGCTTGTTGTCAAAATAACTTGCTTGACGTGTTGAAGCTCGGCAGCCAGGTGTCCGGTGTACAGATCCCTTGTACTCTCTGAAACAAAGATTTACCCACGGTAGCTGTGAAGAATGGTGGTGAGAATCACCGTTTAAATGTCTATTTGTATGGGTCTTTCCTCTATAGACATAGTAGATTAAGGTGCAATCAGAATCGAATTACTGACACATCTAGAAAAACTAAAGAATTGTTTGCCTCTAACTCTATTCTGAACTGAATTTTAGAATTTATAGAGTTAAGATAGCCATAAAAGGCAGTTACTTTATTATCTAAAAGTAAAATTGTGAAAGTGTGGTCTACGTACCGCTTGTAGAATCTTTGATTTACGGAAGAAGTAAGCAAGGCTTTCTCCTGAGTCTTCCATGAATATGTCGACGACAATGGGAGATACAGGTGAGCCCATTGTCACACCATCTTCTTGCTTGTAGACCTCCTCTCCTCCACGTTAATAAAACATTTGTGTACGCTACCGAATGGCAGAAACGGGGCTGCCTCACACATATTGTTGTGGATGGTCACCCGCATTTCGCCTGTCATGGTATATGAACTTATATGTGCTGAGATATCAAATCCAAATGAAGATCCTATTTTATACTACATAATTAAAAACAATATAATACACGGTTCATGTGGAAACCTTAATAATAATTCTCCCTGCATAAAAGATAATAAATGTAGCAAAAATATCCTAGACAATTTTTGAGAGATACACAGACAAGTGACGATAGTTACCCACAGCACAGAAAACGATCTCCGGCTGGCGGTTGTTTTACACTTAAATTAAGAGACATGTGGCCCCTATAATAAGGTTTTTTCATGGAAATTTAAGGCACGTATTAATGTAGACGAATTCGGCTCGGGGGAGGGCAGCTCACAGATACCAGTGAAATTTAATGCTGCTTATTTGTTGGTGGTAGAGAACCTTAGGAAATGAGGCATGGTGACAACGATCTGATTTGATTTGTAATGGAAGATGATGTAGATGTTATGGGCCAGCAACCACTTACCATCAGGTGGACTGTGTGCTCGTTTTACTATCAAAAAAGGCGCCTTTCGTGCTAGAAAACAAGAAGGACGAAGTCAAATTATATGAGAGTGGGCGCGTTGTTTGAATAGTTTGGAAGCAGTTTGGAAGATTTTAGGGTTTTCCAGACTTGAAGCGTTTCCCGCTGTCATACATTTAGCTTCCCACCTTGAAAATGGCCAACGAATTTGTTTTAATTTCGACAATCTCACCGACAAAGTTAATAGCCCACCAAAAACGACACTGTTAGCATTTTTTGTCAAATGATTCTGCTAAAACCCTTTTATATGCAGAAGTGGCGTTATATTTTGTACGGTAAAAAGATACATTTGTGACAAGGAAAAGAGGAAAATCCGTAGCTAGATGGCTGACAAGGAATAAGGAAAGAACATGCTCTAGGTGGAGTATATACGGTTTGTTCGAATAACACAGAGTGTCACAATCTTCGCTTATTTTTGCACGAGCTTAGGTTAGTTTCATTCAATGACTTGAAGACTGTCAAAAGTGTCCTCCAACCAACTTTTCAATTAGCTTGCATGACGTTTGGCTTCGTAGAGGGTGACAAACATTGGTATTCTGCTCAGAGGAAGCAGCCTTATGCGAGTCGCTATTTGAAATGCGTGAACTTTTTTCTATAATGCTGGAATTCTGTTAGATTACAGACGCATTAAGTCTTTTAATAAAATACAGGGATAGCCTATGAGAATACTAAAAACGACAAGTGTGACGTGTGAAGTGTGTGAGAGGACTTTCTGGCATTATAGAAAGTCCATTGTATTATAGCAGATGAAATCCTCAATAAAAGTCTGGTCACATTAGGAGAAACTGTTGCCTCAGCTTCAAAGGTCTGAAGGCTTACATGATAAGTAATATATAATTAAAAAAATTAAGTAGTGAAGGCTCTCTAACCAATGAACTCCGCTCAAGACAATAACTGCTAGGGGTAAGCTGAGCAACAAGACCAAGGTGTGTGTCACGCACTTCTGGAGCGACGTCATAGAGAATATCTCGAAGTCTTTTGACAGGTTTTGGCACGCAAGTGTGCTAAGTAAGTTTCCGGATTACGGCATCGCCACCGAATTTTGTAACAATATATCTGACTTTCTGAGTGAACAGTCGATCATGGTAGTCTTAGATGGCTGATCTCCTGACCTAATGCATATTAATGCCGGAGTTCCTCAGAGGTCTGTCCTCTCTGCGACTATTTTCTTATTGCACATCAATGACTTCCTTCTACCGGGTATTATTGGGTATGAAGATGACAGCACAGTCACAGAGAGATTTATATTCAGTGAAAAAGACGGAGGGGCAGTAATACGTTCATTTGGAGAGGCCGTGGTGGAGCGGATAAATGCGACCTTAAGTCTATTTTCCAAATGGGGTGAGGACAATTTGGTCACTTACAATGCCGAACAAATGCAGTCATGTCTGTTCTACGCAAAACAGTTCATTTGATCTGGCTCCTACTTTCCGAGGTACATCTGTAAAGGCTGCTGATCATCTTGAGCTCCTCGGCATTCAGTTGAGTGCTAACCTCAATTTTGGCGCTTACATTGAGTCGAAAGCACGACCGACGATATTCTAAACAAGGTGAAAAGATGGGGTCAGCTTCTAACATTATACAAAGCTCAAGTCCGAACATGCATTTTTGGGATATCTCAGCAAAATATCAAATTGCCGTACTTGACGCAGTGGAAAGCAGAGCGAAGAGGCTTATCGGTGACAAAAATCTGGTGGAACCTAAGCTTCACAGCTTAGCTCACCGCCCCCGAGATGCTTGTTTGGCGATCTTCTACAAAGTGTACTTGGGAGAGTATGCCTATGAGCTTCGTAAGCTCATATCGCCATCTCCATTCTCCTATAGGAGTACCAGTCGTACTGCGTGCTACCATTCACACTTGGTTGACATTGCGAATATTCGCACTAAAAGCTATAAATCGTCTTTTATTATGCGCACAGCCAAAGCGTGGAATCCCCTGCCAGCATCTGTTTTTCTGAGTACCTATAACCCTGACCTCTTCAAGGTGATTGTTAACAGACTTCTTCTGGGCAAACTCGTTCCATTGTAGACTTTGTCCCCAGGCCAGACGGAGGACAAGAGTGAGCGTATTTTTAATTTAAAAATAATATTTTTTATATAAAATCGTCTACTAATCATAATTTATTTTCTTTCTTTTTCAAAACGTTACCACCACACTAGGATTTTCTCCTGTATCGTGGTGGCAGTTTACAAACATAAATTTCACAAGGAAAACATCTAGACATGGAACAATTACTTGTAGTCCATACAAATACTTGTTCCGTGCGGGATTCGAACCCGCGGCCCTTAGCGATGTGATTCATTGCTAAGCCACTGCGATGCGGAGGACATAAAGTTAAAATACATTCATTTCGAACATTAAGTATCATAGTACCTAACGTATAGGATTAACATTTTCTTTAAAAAAATTACTAAATTTACTAAAAATCTATTTAAAATATTTAAAAGGTAATAAATAATAGAAATATAAGCCGTTTATATTCCAATTATAAAGATCAATAACATTTATAATTTTTATGTTAAATTGGGAAATGGGCTAAAATATTTCTAAGATTATGATACAAAATCAATGATATAAAAGGTTTTTAAGGTGCATAAGTGTTATAATAGCAGAGTTGTGGCTAAAAGTCTCATAGGTAAAAATATAAAAGACATGTGATGGTGAGTTCTATGAAATATATTGATAAAAATGGGACTTGACTATTGAAAACCAGTGTACGCAAGTGAAGCTGTTAATTATTGTTACTGTTAATAACTGTTAATAACTGTTAATATTGTGCAGCATATTTTGAAAAGTACATCAATTGTTACAAAATTATTGAACCTACTTTATTCTTCCTAAAAATCATATGGCGCATATTTTTTTTTTAATTTAAAATCCGTAAAGTTTAAAAATATATTTATGTTGTATACGTGGTAGAGCCATGCTGCAGTTATATTAGTAGTATAGTTGTAGCACGAATGGGTCGGCTCGACCGGGGAAGGATCACGCTCTCACAGAATACCAGCATCAAATAGTAGCTTAATGCTGCTGTGTTTCGTATGGTGAGTGTAGAGAACTGGAGATCCTTTTTACTGGAAACGAGGCGTTCCATCTTAGTCCTCACGGGTGACAACGCATCTGCATTTTGATTCGTAATCGAGGATAGATGTAGAGGTCTATGGGCCGCAGCAACCACTTACCATCAGGCGGACTGTGTGCTCGTTTGTCACCCTATCCTATAAAAATGTATACGTCTAATATTAACCTAGCTATCAACCTGACTCTCAGGGCAAGTACGGATTATGTCGGATTTGAGCAGATTAAAACTCAAGGATGTTTCACCTTCTACGGATATTGGCAGCACCACAGGAACGTTTCGGCACACATCTGCAGTCCTACCAGCGTGAGCACCCTCTATGGCAACCCCACTTCGGGAGAGGTCACCTTCCCCCCCACGACCACTATACAACGAAACAGTCCAAGTTTTGTAAAAAATTAAAGCTAATTTAGGTACATACGAGTACATACTCATATCGACAATGTTAAAAAATTGTACGCAAGTAAATCTGTTAATTATATTGCGCAGTACCTTTAACCATTTGAAAAGTAACATCAATTGTTACAAAATTATTGAACTTACTTTATTCTTCCTAAAAATCATATGGCGCATATATTTTTTAAATATACCATCTTTATGACAGGCTAATAGGATAAGATGCATTGTACAGTAAGCTTGGTCAGAGGATAGACGTTCAAAATGTTGAGGCATCCAAAATACGTGTATGGTCCAGATATGCATCTTATACCGGCGAAATTAAATTTAGGTGAATTTTTAATTCAAAGACTAAGCGAACATGGAAATAAGATTGCGATGGTGAGTTATTTCTTTAATTTCTCCATTATTTGTGATTCTTAAATTAAAATATATCTCAAAATTATAGCCAAAATGGATTGGATGTTAAGCTGCTGACTTGCTGCTGCTCTTAATTATTTAGAAAAATACAGAAAACTTTATTGTGATTATTATTTTTAATCTAGGATTTAAAATAGTTTTGTTTAAACATCAATGACATTTTTTAAATTTTACTTACGTCTTTCTTGTACGAAAGAACTATAGGCCATGCATGAAAATATTAAATTTGGTGATCCTTTATTTATGTATTATCACGACATGAGTAAAGAAACCGACCAGCATGAACCCTGGCGGCTCGTCTCCTATATACAGAGAAAAATATATTGTGAAATTATAGTATAACTTGGTCAAAGCAAATTACCCCAAAGCTCCATGGTAATACACATGATTATTATTTATTATTTTTAATGTGGTAGATAGATATCTCATATATAATAGACGTCAACAAATGTATCAAATTTGTTGAATTGCTCAAGCAAAAATATCGCGAATATTTTGATTTCGAAATATTCATTGTTAATATTGACAGTGATATATCATCGACGGATACGAGCTAAGTTGTCAGAGGCTGGTGTCCGTACACCTCTACACGGACAGTGGTTAGATAGCTCACGAACCACCACACAGGCGACATGATGATTGGTAACAATACCAAATCGTAAGCCATCATCATCATCACCCTCATCACCATTTCCTTTCCCTATTAAATCAGCTTTTTTAAGCAGTCCTGAGTCAGATGAAGCTGTAAGAGCCATATAGGCTAACAGCATCAACATGACAGAAAATAGATAGTGATTGGTGATAGATTGTTTAATAATATGGAAACTTTATACTATATTTAAAATTTACCATTCAACTGAAAGGCAAAACAAATTATTCAAAAACAAATGAAAATAAAATATTTAGAGTACGAAGTTTGTAAAAAAAATTAGTGGTAGAGCCATGCTGTAGCTATAATAAGGTTGTAGCACGAATGGGTCTGCTCGACCGGAGAAGGATCACGCTTTCACAGAATATCAACGTAAAATAGCATCTTCATACTGCTGTGTTTCATATGGTGAGTGTAGAGATACGGAGACCTTTTTTACTGAAAACGAGGCATTCCATCTTAGTCCTCAGGGGTGACAACGCATTTGCGTTTTAAGTTACGTAATTAAAAGCTGATAAATGTTTTGTTATTTTATGTTATCCTCCTGTGTAAAAACCTATTAAAATACAAGTCACAACTTAAAAATAATAGCTGAATTTTGACTTGAAGTTTCATATATAAAAAACATGACAGTAAGGTCTATGAAATAAAACAAACATGTAAAAGGTCTCAAATATATAAAAGCATTATATTGATAGATATATTCTAGCCATATCAATTCAGTGCCGGTGATGAGCGGGTTTGTTGTAGTCGTACGGCTTTCCCATGGACGTTCCGATCATACGTGGTAGAGCCATTCTGCAGTTATATTAGTATAATAGTTGTAGCACGAATCGGTCGGCTCGACCAGGGAAGGACCACGCTCTAACAGAATATCACCGTGAAATAGCAGCTTAATGCTGCTGTTTTTCGTATGGTGAGTGTAGAGAACCGGAGATCCTTTTTACTGGAAACGAGGCGTTCCGTCTTAGTCCTCACGGGTGATAACGCATCTGCATTTTGATTCGTAATCGATGATAGATGTGGATGTCCATGGGCCGCAGCAACCACTTACCATCAGGTGGACTGTGTGCTCGTTTGTCACCCTATCCTATAAAACAATTGACATGGCTGAACCTCAGCTCTTTCAATAGAGAAAATCTATATCATTTAAAGTACGTAAAGATATTGTGGACCTTTCTGTTGGTCGAACTGTAGAAATGATTAACACATGCTATTTCTCATGCATTTTGCGTTGCCCATTTGCCATACTTGAGCACCTTATTGTTGTCAGTATTGAAAGACCCCCATGTACCATTGAAAAAATTTATGAAGTAAAAAGTAAGAAGTTTTAGTTAAGCTTCATAAACAGAATAAATCTCTTGTAGTATGAAGAAACTTTAATATCAATCTCCTGGAAGCGTCTTCCATCAGTACTAAATTTTGTTCATTGTTCAAATCATTAAATCTTGATAATTTATTCTTTGAAGCTACACGTATTGCATAGTGTAGTGCAATTTGTATTGATAATATTTTTACAGATGTTGTACTAATCAAGAAATTCATAAATCAAAAGCCAAATCTTTACATATTAGCAATAAAATTAAGACCGCTAACAATAAAATTAAAATGACGTGGAGTATAATCAATAGCAAAACCGGTAAAGACAAACCAACGAGGTTTTGGCAAATTATCAATTAAAAATTAATAATGAATTGACTAGATCAAATCAAGAAGTCGCATCGGTGTTTGAGAAATATTTCACTGAAATTACATTTTGACAACAAAGTCATTGAATAGTTTTTCAACTGTCGCCAATTCATTACTCAAACTGTAAAATTATTTTAAATATATAATTTTTTTTGAAAAAAATTTCATTTCAAAAATTATTAACACAAGATGTTATAAAATATTTCAAAACCGTTGATATAAAGAAAACTGAAGATTTATGGGAGATTTCCGTTACAATTATTGCGTCCATAATAAATTTAATTGGACCTCATCTTGCTATTATTTATAATTCTAGTAGCGATTCTGGAGTGTTTCTTGATTTAATGAAACATAGTAAAGTAATACATAGTAAATTGGAACCCGCTAATTTTAGACCTATTTCTCTACTACCAACTCTCAGTAAAATTTTTGAAAAGATAATTTTAGATCAATTGTTAATTTTTTTAATAAAAATAAACTACTCCAAAAAAAAAACAATTTGGTCTCACAAGGGGTTGCTCTACAACTGACGCAGGTGAGCTTATGAAATATATATTTTAATGCCTGGGAGAGTTCACTAGATGATAAGATAAAGAGAAAGATATTTTATTTATTAAAACATGTGTGAGATTAACAATGCATGGGCAGAGATAAATTCTTGTTGTTAGTGTTATTAGTATCAACATGGTTGTTAGTTTTTATTTAACATTGGAAAAGTCTATCAATACACAAAGTCAGTGAAATTATTAAAAACTAATTCAATGAATTTGTTGTCAACATGATATTTCAGTGAAATATTTCTCAAACACCGCTGCGACATCTTGATTTGATCTAGTCAATTAATTATTAATTTTTAATTGATAATTTGCGAAAACCTCGTTGGTTTGTCTTTACCGGTTTTGCTATTACACCAGTCATAATTAAAAATATATTTATGTAGAACGCAATTATATAATGTCAAATTTTATTATTGAGAAAGTCCGTTACAGTATAGTAGCATTTTTCAATCAAAAGGTTTTTGAATTTACTTTTAAAAATATTGCTGCTCACAGATTTATACCTCTGAGGAGTTTAATTTTAGATTTTAGGAACCATGCATACTAACACTCTTTCTTAGCAGAGCCGTTTTTACATACAATTTACTTTCGTCACGACGGCTGCGCTTTACTTTGTCAGATAACCGTGGAAATAGGTAGGGATTAGTCCTGACAAATCAGGACAGAGCCATCTCCATTATGTATAAGGACGGTAGTGTAAGAATTTTGTGTTTAATAAAATACAGTATACAACTGTCGGTAGTCTGAAGACAAAACATTGCACGAATACATCTTTTCTGACTTTTAAATGCTATTTTTCTGTCAGTTGAGTTACCCTAGAAAATAATTCCGTATCTAAAAATAAATTCGACTAGTCCATAATAAGCTATTAGAAGTCCGTCAGTGTTAACTATAGCAGAAAGTCTAAACAGTAAATAAGCCGAACTACTTATTTTTTATTTAGTTCTAGTGTATGGGCTTTCCAATTTAGTTTTTGGTCAATTTGTAAGCTGAGAAATCAGGTTGTATCTACTTCAGCGATAACAATGTCGTTGTGATTACTTCAATATTAGATGGGGTAGGTCTTTGGCTAAAATGCATAATGCGTCTCTTATTTAGATTAATTTTGAAACTATTATTATTTAGCTATGTTATTATTGATATTAATGATTCGCTTATGTCATTTTTATAAGAAAATATGTCATTACTCCTTATAGTTAAAGTACTCTCGTCAGCGAGTAAGGTCATAGGTTGCTTAGTGGCATACTATACTATAAATAAGAGAGGCCCTTAGACACTGCCCTGTGGGATACCGTATTTTACCAAACGCTCTGTCGGTGACCTTATGTTCTTTCCTTGGGTCCTTAGATTTAATTTACATATTTCCATTTTTTAACGACGGTTATTTAGATAAGACTGGTACAAACTCAATACATTGCCTCTAATGCCATATGCTTCGAGTTTGTGATCAACATAGTCAAAAGCCTGAGTCACATACACACAGTATAGTGAAGAAACCGGTGTTCTGTTGTTAACGTGTGTTATTACTTTTTATAAAACTCGTACAGTGCCATATTTATTGTTTTATTTTTGCGAAATCCTTTTTGTTCTCTACATTAAATGTAGTTCTTTTTTCAAATAATCTTTCACTTAGAAATATTATTATCGTACAAAAAAAAAAAAACGGCAAGGTGAGATTTGAAGACGGTGCTCGCTTGCGTGACATGTACTTTAATAACCGCGAGGCTATCCGTTATTTACTGCTAAGAGCGAAGTAGGCGTACATAAGACAGCAGTGATCGTAAAAGTTTGTTATTATGACTAATGGTAATGGAATTTGCGCAAAAATGTTAGCACTTTGTCACTGTTAAGCACTCAATGTTTCCACATTTTTTTACGTTAAACTTTTTCTTAAGTTTGTCATTTCACGTTCAAATGACCTGTTTCACACTTTTTACGTAGAAGTTCACACTTTTTACCAATGTTTAACTACATAAACTACTAGATAAAATTTCAATAATTTTTTTAGATACCGTTTTCACATAAAGTTAACATCACAACTAATAAGTTAATGAAGTAAAAAGTAG